TTACTGTCCTCTATGCATAATAAAAAAGACCATAGGCTTCTGATTCCTGTCTCTCTAGCTTGGGAAAAGGGGTTTATTGCTACGATGGCATTATTAGATTCTGGAGCAGCAGAAAGCTTTATAGACCAAACTTTCGCTAATAAGCATTGTATCCCATTCCAATTGAGAGATACACCCTTGGCCGTTGAGGCCATAGATAGTAGACCTTTATCTGAACCAGTAATATTCCATGAGACCGAACCCGTTAAGCTTACTGTTGGTATTTTCCACGAAGAGTTGATTTCCCTTCTGTTAATTTCCTCCCCGGCAGTCCCAGTGGTTCTAGGATATTCTTGGCTCAAGAGACACAACCCTCAGATTGACTGGGAGGGTGGAGAAATCGTTTCTTGGGGTATGGGTTGTAGGGAAGAATGTCTGCAGAGAGTTACTTCTGTTTGCCCCGTAAACTCTTATGCTAACACTTCTCAATCCACAGACGTTCAGATACCATTACAATATCTAGACCTCAAATCTGTATTTGACAAGGGGAAGGCGGATACTTTACCTCCCCACCGGTCTTATGACTGTTCTATTAAACTTTTCCCTGGTACTATGCCTCCCAGGGGTACGGTATACCCTCTATCCACCAAGGAAAACTTAGTTTTAGAGGAATATATCAAGGAGAATTTAGACAAGGGATTTATTAGAAAGTCTTCTTCTCCGGCGGGGGCGGGTTTCTTTTTTGTAGAAAAGAAAGACGGTACCTTACGTCCTTGTATAGACTATCGGGGATTGAACAAAATTACTATCAGAAATGCTTACCCTATTCCTTTGATTACTGAACTCTTTGACAGACTAAAGGGCTCGAGTATTTTTACTAAACTTGACTTAAGAGGAGCATATAACTTAGTGCGAATTAAACAAGGAGATGAATGGATGACAGCATTTAATACCCGTTACGGGCATTATGAGTATACCGTAATGCCGTTTGGGCTTTGTAACGCCCCGGCCGTCTTCCAAGACTTGATCAATGAAGTTCTTAGAGAATTCCAACATGAATGTGTAATTGTATATTTGGATGATATATTAATCCATTCTAGAGACATTAATTCACATCATAGACAAGTCAGAAAGGTATTACAGAAACTTTTACAACATGGATTGTATTGTAAATTGAAAAAATGTAGCTTTGACCAGTCTCAGGTAACTTTCTTAGGTTACGTAATTTCCAAAGACGGGTTTATGATGGACCCGACCAAACTAAAATCGATTTTAGATTGGCCTTTACCTAAGGGACTCAAAGCCATACAAAGATTTCTTGGATTTTCTAATTATTACAGACGTTTTATTAAAGGGTACTCCTCTGTTATCGCTCCTATCACTAATATGACCAAACAAGGAGCCGATACCAAAACCTGGTCTACTGAGGCTTTATCTGCTTTCGAAACGCTCAAACAGTCTTTTGCCTCAGCACCTGTATTAGTTCATCCTGATACCTCTCTACCCTTTTTACTTGAAGTTGATGCGTCTGAAACAGGGATAGGCGCAGTGTTATCCCAAAGACAAAGTTTAGATAAGCCGCTGCACCCTTGCGGTTTTTTTTCCAAGAAACTATCACACACTGAAAGGAGATATGACATTGGTGATAGAGAACTTTTAGCTATCATTATGGCATTAAAGGAATGGAGACATTTGTTAGAGGGCACCGTCCTCCCAGTTACTATCTTGACTGACCACAAAAATTTATCGTATATGGGGGAGGCCAAAAGATTATCTGCCAGGCAGGCACGTTGGTCTATGTTCCTTACACACTTTAATTATGTGCTTACTTACAGGCCTGGTTCTAAGAACACTAAGGCAGACGCTTTGTCACGTCAGCACGAACCTACCACCTCTACAGAGGATACTTTGTTCCCTATTATTCCTGAAGTCAATATTATCGCCAACACCAATGTCAAAATACACTCTCCATTGCTCGCTGATATTATGAACGAACAATCTCTTGCTCCCGAACGTACTCCTGTGGGCCGCTTGTTCGTGTCTCCCAAATTCCAAGTGGACATTATTCGCTGTTTTCACGATAGCAAGATCGCTGGTCACCCCGGCATCCACAAAACTTACTGCCTGATCTCCAAAGACTTCTGGTGGCCCGGTTTACGTAGGGATGTGGAAGACTTTGTCAAGGCTTGCAATGTTTGTGTCAGGAATAAACTTCCGCGGGATCTCCCTTGTGGTTTATTGCAGCCCTTAGTCGTTCCCAACAAACCTTGGGCTTGTTTGGCTATGGATTTTATTGTTGATCTACCAGCTTCCAATAGGCATACAGTTATCCTCACGGTCCTTGACAGGTTTACTAAAATGGCTCATTTCGTTCCCTTGCCTAAACTTCCGTCCTCCTCCCGAACTGGCCGTGATATTTGCTAGAGAAATTTTCCGTTTACATGGTATTCCCAATGAGATTGTGTCAGACAGGGGTTCCCAATTTATTTCCCGTTTTTGGAGATCCTTCTGTTCACAGTTGGGCATCAAACTGAATTTTTCTTCGGCCTATCATCCCCAATCTAACGGAGCAGCCGAACGCACTAACCAAAAAATTGAGCAATATCTACGTTGTTTTGTTTCTGAACACCAGGATGACTGGGTCGGTCTGATTCCTTGGGCGGAGTTTGCTCACAACAACCTTGTTTGTGGTTCCACTCGTAACAGCCCCTTTTTCTTGAACTATGGCTTTAACCCTACTGTTCTTCCGTCGGTGTCTCCTTCCCAGGGTATACCGTCGGTTGATATTCATATAGCCAACCTGAGAAAGTTGTGGGATCAGACTCGACAAATTCTTGAACGTAGTTCCGCGGTGTTTAAGTCACATGCTGATAGGCGTAGACGTCCTGCTCCTATTTTTTCTCCGGGGGATAGGGTCTGGTTGTGTACCAGACACATTCGCCTGAAAGTTCCTTCCTTGAAGTTTGCTCCTCGTTACATTGGTCCTTACAGGGTACTGAGGAGGATCAACCCGGTTTCTTATTTGCTGGATCTACCTCCTACTCTACGCATCCCTAACTCTTTTCATGTGTCGTTATTGAAACCTCTTGTTTGTAACCGATTTTCCTCCCGCTCTGCTCCTCCATCCTCGGTCCGTGTGGATGGTCAGGAGGAATGTATCATCAAGTCCATCCTTGATTCTCGTATTTCTAGGGGGAAGCTGCAATACCTCATAGACTGGAAAGGTTATGGTCCTGAAGAGAGGTCTTGGGTTCCTGGTATAGACGTGCATGCTCCTCGTCTTCTTCGGGCCTTCCACGTTCGTTTTCCTTCTAAGCCAGGTCCCATCCGCCCGGTGGGCGTTTCTAGAAGGGGGGGTACTGTCAGGGTACCTGTTGGTGATGTATCCAGGGAGGACATCCTCTCTGCTTAGGGGCTCCCTTCCCTTAGCATTTCGGCATATTCCGGCCGTTTTCGCGCCGGCCGCGCTAGCTCCTCCCCCTTTTATGACGCGACGGCTAGCGTCGACGTCATGACGTCGGCATTTGCATAAAGTGCCGGGAACCGCTATTCCGGACCTTTTGGGGGCGTGGTCTCTATTTAGGTACAGGGTATTTAAAGGAAACCTTTACTACTACTCATTGCCCTGTCGTGGTTCTAGCTTGCTAGTCACTCAGCGCGTTCTTTATCTTGTGTTTCCGGTTTTGACCCTTGCTTGTCTTTTGTCCTGTTGTCCTCTCCTCTCCTTTGACTCGGCTTGTATCTCGCTTACCTGTCCTCCGGCTCCCTTGACCTCGGCTTACCTTTTGACTATTCTTGCTTGTCCTTACGTTAGTCCGGCCATTCTAAGGTCCGGTATACGTACCTCCTTCTGTGTGCACTCTGCGTATTGGATCCCTGTCAGTTTCCTGACAGTGGGACCCCCTTATAAAGCAGAAATACGTCATATGCATAGTCACAGATAACACAAAGTATACTTTCAACAATTGGTTAACAGTCTAAGGGGTCTTTCCTGATACCACCCCACTGTGCGTGACCCCAGCATCGTCACATGACATTCCTTTTATATCCCAGCACCATTTTATTACACGTGGCAAGTCCTTGAGAGAGAGCCGGTGTTCTATCAGTTTGGTATACCCCGTCAGATTGCTATACCCACGTCACTTCCGGGGAGGGGAATCAGCTGTCTCCTGTGCTGCACATGCGTGCTAGCACTCCTGCTACTCCTCCACAGCAAGGTCCTGGAAGGTAAGTAAAACTAGTTTTACACTTTCATTATAGTTAGTGCATTCACTAAGCTTAGGACATGGGACATTTAGGGTTAATGTTAGGGTTCAAATTAGGGTTAGGATTAGGGACTTGTTCCTATTTAGTGATATTTCACATTAGGGGAATATCACTAAATAGTGATTTCTCACACTTTATTTTAACCCTTACCCCAAGGGTTAGGGTAAGAATAGAGTGTGAGAGAGGTTAGAAGCACTTACCTAACCCTAATTTGTACCCTCACTTAACCCTAAATGTCCCGTGTGCCTAAGCTTAGTGAATGCACTAACTATAATGAAAGTGTAAAACTAGTTTTACTTACCTTCCAGGACCTTGCTGTGGAGGAGTAGCAGGAGTGCTAGCACGCATGTGCAGCACAGGAGACAGCTGATTCCCCTCCCCGGAAGTGACGTGCGTATAGCAATCTGACGGAGTATACCAGACTGATAGAACACCGTTACTTGAACAAAGGAAGCGAGGGACGGGTTAGAAATCAGCACAATTGCACAGAGTAAAATAGACATTTTATCCATTCAAGTATTTTGTCCATAACAATACTTTTCTCTCTGGTCTCCCAGTCTGCTGCTCCTTCCCCTCGCTGGCTGTGAGAAGGCTCTGTGTGTGACGATAGTACAGGAAGTGATGTCACATCTTAGCCCCGCCACTCCTATCACACAGAGCCGCGTGGGACAGGAAGCAGGAGACCTGGCAGAGAGCAGGGGAAGCTGCCAGGTCTCTTTTGAGGGAGAGGGGAGTGTGATATGCAGAGTATAGGCATACCCCACTTTTAAGTACACAATGGGACCAGAGCATGTATGTAAAACGAAAATGTACTTAAAGTGAAGCAATACCTTTTTTCACTTCCCAATTGCATGTACTGCATTGCAACAGTAATTTAAAGGCATAACTGATACTGCAACTGCAGATTTCCAGTGATTTATTTAGTGATTCCCAGTGGGCTTTTATTCAGTTAAAACAAACAATAAAAAGAAAAATCTCATTCCAGATTGTACCATTTATCTTTAATGCTTTACTCATCTGGATACCTTAAACTGGGAGGAAAAGTAAAATAAACCTGCCCACTGGGCCATTTTCTGTCAATACAGTGCCAATTTGTATTCATTAGCAGCTTGTTCCCAAACTTTGTTTAGAAACACCTCTTCATCACTTTAAGCATTTATGGTTTAACTTTGAATCCTCAGAATTGTGGCTAATGCAGCTAAGCTGCTTAGTCAATGTTATAGAAAATGGTAGGGGGAACCCCTTTCACCGGATGGCAGCCAATTGCAGAATATGGACAATGTAAGGGCAGAAAAAAAATATATATGTTCAGCTAGGAGTAGGCATTATAAATTTGAGATGATTAACCTGTGCCATGTCAGGTAGTGTGAAAAGTTCTTGCCCCAAAGACACTGAACCGAGCTGCTCCGGGCGAGAATAGGACCTTCCTTTTCCTTTTCACACGCGGACAGAAGAGGCACGGGAATGTCTGTACTCGCGAGTGTACCTAAAGTGAGTGTATGTAAAGCGCAGTATGCCTCTAATAGGTTGCTGTGGGCCTGCGCTCCATCAGGGGCCCCACAACCTATCAATGAAAGATTTATTTATTTTATTTTGTTGCCGTTCCAGTTGAAGAGATCCCTTGCCTCTCCAGCTGGAGCATGGCTGTGCGGCCGTGCCCCTGGCTGGCTCGGGCCCTCAGTCCATGACCGATGTGCCCAAGTGGTCCGTCCGCCCCGGCGTGTAATGTATATTGCATTTAGGAGAATATTGAGATTCTAGATTGTGGTTTTATTTATATATATATATATATATATATATATATATATATATATATATATATAATCACTTTTTTTTAGTTCACATTTTTGCAGATTAATGGTAGTACCCACATATTTTTGGATGATTAAAAGACCACTATAGTGCCAGGAAAACAAACTCGTTTTCCTGGCACTATAGTGCCCTGAGGGTGCCCCCACCCTCAGGGTCCCCCTCCCGCCGGGCTGAATGGAGAGGAAGGGGGTTAAAAACTCACCTTTCTCCAGCGCTGGGCTCCCTTGGCGCTGGGGACTCTCCTCCTCCTTTCCCGTCATTGGCTGAATGCGCATGTGCGGCAAGAGCCGCGCGCGCATTCAGCCAGTCCATTGGAAAGTATTCTCAATGCTTTCCTATGGACGCTGGCGTCTTCTCACTGTGAAAATCACAGTGAGAAGTGCCTCTAGCGGCTGTCAATGAGACAGCCACTAGAGGCTGGATTAACCCATTTGTAAACATAGCAGTTTCTCTGAAACTGCTATGTTTACAGCAGAAAGAGTTAATCCTAGATGGACCTGGCACCCAGACCACTTCATTAAGCTGAAGTGTTCTGGGTGCCTATAGTGGTCCTTTAAGATCAGCCCATGTTTAGGCATAACATCAACAACAAAAACATACCTTTGTGTAAATGTATGTAATCTTTTGTTCGTTCAAATATGCATTTAGTAATACATAAGGTCTATACTGAGTGAATTTAAAAAAAATAAAATACATTTTTTTTTTTACATTTAAAACAGTTTAATAATGGATGGACGGTGCCAGGGGACTTCAGACACTATAACCACTTCAATGAGATGAAACCGTTACAGTGCCCACAGTGTCCATTAAGTGACATAGATTCCTTACATAAAATATGGCACCACCACAAGTTAGATGTAAGGTGGAATGAGATGTACCAGGTATTGGGACCCTGGATCCAAGGTAATGTCTTGATCATCCTGGGTGTCTGTATACTTGTAACTGGTATAACTCATGCAGGGCAGATTGCGGTTATACATGATTGATTTGAACCTCTCATTCACAGAGTAACATATTCATTTGTTTGACTGTCTGGCCGGCAGTGTCTAATATTTTACCAGGAATTGCTGGCTCAGCTCTGTAAGGGGGCATGGTTATACTATTTTACAGCCATTTAACTTTCTTTTGGTATTTCTGTTGAGAATAAAAAAAAAAAAGCTTTGCATAAACATTAACTTCAGAAAAAGATTTATTGGGCAAAGCATAGCTGCAACAATGAGATTGAAATATGCTGGTACCTCCTCGGAATAGATTGTTGTAACTGTTCAACAAAATGTCATTTTGTAGCTGGAGTTCAGACCAAGGATTTTCAACAGTTTTTTTATGTTATTTGTAACCGTTCCCTTTGAGAAGTACTGGCGCTGTGTTGTGGCACCTTCTGCTCCTACGTTGCTTGATGAGGAGTTGCTAATGCGCATGGGCAGCAAGTGCCACATGCACATAAGTGCAATAGGGATACTCAAGCCAGATAACTTCACTGAGCTGAAATGGTCTGGGTGCCTATAGTGTCCCTTTAATAATATTTTATAGTATTTATTTTGTGCCCTATAATTAATTTCACTAATGTAGTGTCAGGATTACTAATTGATCCAGCACGCAAAATAATATCACACCTAGGACTAAGGATAACGTATAACCGGACCTTAGACTGACCGGACTTAACATATCCAAGAGTAGTCAGAATACTTGCCGAGATCAGGGAAACAGAACGTCAGACAACGATGAGGGAAAGCCAAAAGTCAAGGATACCAGAAATCAAGGAAGTCAAACGAAGCCAAAGTCAAATACCAGAAATACAACGATCAGGAAAACTCTCTTGGATAACCAGCTAAGGTAAACCATGACAGGGCACTGATCAAATGGTAATATGGGTTTAAATAACCATCCTAAAGCTGTAATTAGCTGTGTGAGACCTCTGACCCCAAAACGTGCATGCACGTCTTTGACGTGACGTCGCACGCACGTAGGCGCCATCTTTGATCTAGGCAAAGGCTTTTTTCTTGTTTAAATCTGAACCGCAGCAGCCAGCGTCTCCAGTAACTCTGCACACACTGGGAACCGGGATGGAAGGAGGTCGGCTTTTGATCTGCCACGGGTAAATTAAGTGTTTATTTCTGTCGGCATGACCACTGTATTTCAGTGCGGCCACGCCGACAGAAACCAGTGACGTAGCTCTTTAGGAACTAGACCAGCACTGCCTTAAACTAGTCATTGTAGTTTGGCTTGTGAGGTATAAATCAAAGCAGAATAATGCACACAAACCTAAAATGGTGCGTTCTAAGTCAGCAAAAAATGTTACAGTAATGTCATAAGCACCTTACAGCAATGCTACACTAAGCGTTCAATGAAGAGAAACATATCGAATGGGCGCATGCAGCATAGATCATACAGTTATTTTACATCCAATATCCCCTAGGTGCCAGGAACCAATTTGTAATCCCTCTGATCTGGGTAACCGTATCCAAGTAGTTAATATGATATTTTACCTGATATTGCTTTACTGTTTGTTTATATGATATATTGACTAGCCATGTAGTACGTTTTTGGTTCTTTAACAGCTGACATACTTTTTGTAAATAATTTAGCAGCGTTCGCGTTTTGTTGCAGCTGTATTCAATCGCAGAATAGCCAGGAGCTGTACTAAGAAAGGTTTTGAAGGCCTGTGTCGTTTTTGGCACAATAAATGTTTATTGCAGGATTTCACGCGTTTCCCTAGAATTTAGGAAGCCGGTGCAAAAGTTAGGAGCCAAATGTATAAATAACATTGTTAAAAATGGCACACAGTGCTTTCACTGCTCAATCGCCATTTGGTGCGCCAGTGGCGGGGATATGACATTATATCCTCACAATCTCCATCTGTTAGTACTTCATGCAACCTGTGTTGTGATAGGTTGTGAGCAGAGTTGTCCATTGTCTGCCACCAAAATTTTGCTTCAATATTGTTTGGAAGTCCTCCAAATTGAAAGTAGATGCTGATCTCCACTGGAATAAAGAATCCTTCAGAGTTTTCTTCACCGATCAATAAAGTTGTGCGCAACATGAAAAACTATTGGTGCAATTAACAGATATTAAATTATTAATCTTAGCAGAGAGTGGGAAAGAAACAAACAGATTAAAAAATAATCCGCACTTGATATGTTTTACTCTCAAAGGAGTTTCTCAACAAGCACATTGCTGTTTTTCCTTGGGGTTACAACGCTGCGATTTCAGGGGGATTTTATGATATCCCCAACAAGCCCGTTGCATCCCTATAAATTGTGGGCTCAAGGCATATGCCTTTTATCATAGTATAGCCCCGGTCATTGAACTAAAATTAAAAAACAAACAAACAACCTTTACAAAAAATAAAAATGGATTATGCAGGTTTAATATATGTGGGAAATACTTTTTGAAACATTGTCAAAATTCTAGAACCCTTTGCATTTTGTCATTCCTCCGTTTAGAGAACAACGCTGAATTTTAAAGAAAAATATGCAGAACCGGCATTTTTAAAAGCTCTGCATCTTTAGGAAATATTTTTGGGTGGAAATGCCTTGAAATATTAATTACGTTTAGAAACTGGAATTACATGACTGCCATTGTCAAGTGGGTCAGGAGGCCTCATGTTGCAGAACTGCTAAGGCTTCTGGGAGTATAACCCATTAATAATGTATGTACATATTTGTACTCTGCCAAGCGACTGTAGACATTAAAAGGGAAATACACCCAGTAAATCAGCAAATGTCTAGTGTTTCCTGTTACAATGCAAAATAGCCTTTAAAGTCTGTTGCGCCTTCAGTAGGGTTTTATCATTGATTGCACAGCCAGAAATCAAGGAAGTCAAACGAAGCCAAAGTCAAATACCATACCTGGATATGTGCTATGATTTCAGAATCCCTCATGGCCATGATTCTACATGTCAATTGTCATTACCAGCTTTGACTTTGACAATGAAAACTACCTGTCAGCTTTTCTGTATTCTAGCCCCGTCTTTAGACAATCAGAGATAAGACAATTGCACTTGGAAAGCTTTTAGCGTTTATAAGCGATTGATTGCTTGCACAACAGGGCTGTCTACTGGTTTGTTAAAAAATGCATTTTGTGAGTTTCTCCTGCTTTTAAAAAGAAGGGTGAAAAGATGTATTCCTGATACTATAGGTATGAAAATCCCGTTTAGGTGTACAACCCCTCTTGCCTACCATGAAAAAGGTAGTTTACTTACCATTTTGTTGCACCAGTCTCGTCGTGGCTGCCCCCATCTCCTTGTCTGAGATCATTAATTTTTACGATCTCAGTCAGTCTAATGCTTTCCCACAGGGAAGCATTTCCCAGGCTATTGCGCATGCACGGCAAAACACTGCGCTGCGTCAATCAGCATCTCCTCATAGAGATGCATTGGATCAATGATCCCCATGAGGAACATTCAGCGTCTCAATGCAGCATGTGGAGACGCTGAACATCAGTACTGCACATCGTGCAGCACTGACCCAGGAAGCATCTCAAATGGTTGTCTGAATGACTGCCACTAGAGGTGTTCCTAGGCAGTAATGTAAACGCTGCTTTTTCTCCGAAAAGTAAGTGTTTACATTAAAATGACTTCAGGGACAGACTATACACACCAGAAGTGAAATTCATTGTTGCAATATCATGGATGGAGGGGGCAAGCGTGGGTGCCGGAGAATCCTCTGCTCTTTGTCATACCACTTGAAAACTATTTTAAAGAAAAATTAGTATTATACCACCATTATAATAATATTTATTACTATTCTTGGCATTTATGTAGTGCAAACTTATTCCGCAGCAATGAGACAATTACAAAATGTTACAGGAACAATAGGTAAATGAGGACCCTACTCAAAAGGGCTTACAATCTAGAGGAGGTGGGGTAAAAAACACAATAGGAAGGGCAGAGTCTGGGATAGCAACCAAGAGACAAGGTGGAAAGTAGCAAAATTGGAAGGTGAAAGTGGAGTTTGGCACTTTAAGAGAGAGCAAGAGACAGGCTTGTAAAATAGAAGTTACTCTACAAGGCCATAAGCTTTCCTGAAGAAATGGGTTTTGAGGGACTTCTTAAAGTGGCACTGTCACTGTCTGGGGACTTTGCCGAATTCGCATAGACCCCTGACAGTGACATTGTTGCTGGGGGTCTGGTGGCCAGGGGGCAGTCAGAGGTCAGATTTACTTACCTAAACTTGTCTCTTGTGAATGTCTCGGCAAGGGTCCATAATTTGTTATTGCGCTATGGAATATTATCCTTTAATGTAATTTGTGTAGTGCCTGCCTGGTAGAGGTGGTATTGTCAATGTCAAAAGGGGTTCTTTTGATTCTATGGAAGGTTTATTGCCTTAATTCCTCGTTGAAGCTGGGACCGCCACAGAGGTCAAATGACATAAGGAGTAATGTAAATTGCATAGGGATGTGAAAAGGGAAACCTGTATCCTGTGATTAATCAAAAGTTCTGCAAGGTGTGAGATTCTACACTTGAAAAGCCTGACTGTCTGGCTTCAGCCACATGGCCTGTACTTCTTAATTGTTGAGTCAATCTCTTTTATATGTTAATGGCCATTAGCCTTGTTCCAGTATCATATCCAGAAGAAAAAAAATTAATATTTACCCACAGAATAATATTTAAGCCTAATTTTTGTTATATTTGGAGTGTGACAAGCACCATCTTCTAAACAAGCCCAAACATGTTTGGCATAACTTAACCATTGGGTCGCAAGTAAGGTGCATAACATATCTATGGAATGGGAAAAAATAACAAAATCATAGATGCAATTATTATTTCTGTGGTAGGTACATAAGAGAAGATTGAACCAAATATTTCCATTTGGATTGATGCGGGTCTGGACACAAGGGGGTGGTCACTTAGTGTCTCTATAAATAAGCCTTAACACCACCTCTGGGTGAGGCGTGGTAATCCACAGGGTATATCTCTGACACTGAAGTGTGCATTGTACTTGCTTGAGGGGCCAGAATCTAATTGTAGCTTACCAGAGACCCCCTGGAGCCAAAGTGTTACTTTGAAAAATTGAGTAAGTAATTAGGACTTCTGTTATTTCCTCCCTTTTGTTCTTATCTGTTGTTGGTGTAAATAATTTTGATTGTCATCTATATTTTTGTATGCACTGTGACTATATTTTATAAATATTCCTTTATTAAGTTCTGCCTTTGTCTGGTAAAGAATCCCGTTACCTGAAGAGACTAATTGGTATCTTTGCAATTCCTTAAATATTGTGTTAAGTTGTATATGGTGGGTTTTTATTATTGTTTTACCTGGGGGACCAAGGCACCCCATTTATAAATTGTCTTGGTGGTGGCAGCGTTAAAATAGTAATAGTTATATTATTATGCTTAAGTGTGGGTGGTGTTAAGTGGGATTTTATCATTATTTCCGGACTAGTGCAGACAAATTGTGAACTTTAACCCTTTCACCACCACAACTCTTGAAGTAGGGTGCGTTCGTGACAGTCCTCTTGTTCTGGCAGGTCCTCTTCAGAAGTGCCATGAGCGGACGTCACTGTTATACTCTTGCGCATGTGTGAGAATACATCATTTAGGTCTATGTCTATCCACGTGGATCTAGGTCTATCTACAAAACAGCAGATTCTCCACATACAGAGCCAATTCCCTGCGACCATTACTAGTGACGGCTGTCGGGATTGACACCAGAGTCTAATAAAGTCAGATGGAGGAAATATTTAAAGACAAAGTAGTTTCAGTATATCTCTTGACTTGGTTGAAAATTCAGTGAAATTCCAACACAGGCAAAATGAGCATTTATTAAAGATTCTATCTGGCAAGCATTGTATTGGAAAAGAAGAAACCGAAACATTGTTTCTGTTGTTTCTCTTCTCTATGATCGCTCTAAGCGGACTAAGAGATGCAAAAGGCAGAGATTTAATAATTCAATAATTGACAGGGAGACAAAATGGAGGCACCCAGTTCCAGGACAGTGGTAGAGATATTTACATTTACTGTATTCTGAAATTTTTTTTAAAAAAACCCCCCCAATTTTTATTAACTGAAGGCAATAAGTAAACATAATATTAAAAATCCTGGCAAGTAGCTTTTTACAAAAAAAGTGGGACTTACATACAAACTAAACACTTTGATAACTCTGACGGTCATTTTTAGTGCATTAAGAAAGGACTGTTTTTGTATTGTCCTTCATAACACACTGTCTTTGTGCAGTGACATTGAAGAATAGTAAAGTGAAAATTACACTCATGCATGACATTAATTCCAACATTGCCTCAGCCTGAAGGCAACCTACCTGCTAGAGGCAAGTGATCTGAGAATTAACTGTCTGTAATACAGGCACTCAGCAGATCTAGAGAACAATGCAGTTTGACCGAGTGAGAAAGATTTCCGTTCCTAATTGAAAAGTAAAATCCTTAATTGGTTTCATTCCCACAGGCTTCTGACAATCAGTGAACGCTACCCTGACCTAATGGAATTGTTAAATTGCAAAACTTAAGTGATCACTGGGAATTAATTTTAAGGGAAGTGTAGTCAGCAGGACACTGCCTGCTCTCTAATTCACCCCACCTCTATCGCTCATCCATTCACCCCTGTTTTATGTCCAGGGTGGCCTGTAAGTCCACCCTGTAGATAAGAGGTCAATAACTACCAAACTTTGTTTCTTCCCTTGAGTATAGCCGGTAAGTGGACCTGAATATATTTTCCCTTAGTAATAAAAGTTATCAGGTAAAGGTGAGTTCTACTTACCAGAGTCTGTCTCTCGCTGGCTTCGCCATCTTCTCCCGGCGGGTAGTTTCGTAATTGTTTGTGTCTGTAATGCAGTTACAATAAAACTCTGAAATTATACTAGTAAGGTGTACCTTCATAGGTAAAGTTTGCAAACATTCTATATACTTGCTCTCTGAAACCGTGTTAATTTTGTCGACTAACAAGTCAAATTTTACTTGGCTAAAAATTTTTAGATTTAGTCGAATAAAACGAAAACCATTCAGATGACTAAAAGACGACTAAAAGTAAAATGGCTTTTTAGCCAAAAGACTATGACTAAAACTAAATAGAAAGTTGCTGGCAAAGTTAACACTGCACAGAGAGGCTGGGGAAGGGGCAAAAGAGACAGACCAGGACCTTGAAGAGAGTCACCTAGATGGGCTGGGAGGAAACAAAGAGACACTGAGGGGTTGGGGAAGGGGCAAAACAGACAGAGGCTTTAACTCGCCCATTAGATTTTAGTTGTCTGCTAAAATCTACTGGAGATTTTAGTCGACTAAAACAATTCAGATGACTTTTTAAACAAAATTTTGCCGCCACAATTAACACTGCTCTGACAGTATCTCTCTTTCTTGATTCTCAAAAACTGTATGGACTTTTGGACCTGGGGGTACTTGTATATCCCATTGCACTTCATTTGTAGATTGTAAGCTCTGTGCAGGGTTCTCTTCTTTTTTTGTCCAGTGTGTCTAAATACGTATCCCCTGTTTATTTAATTCCTAGTTATAGTTTTGCAAATTATAAAGCTGTCTAGATAAGAGCATTATTTAAGGACGATTAAATCTTTACACTGTGCCAGGATAATTCAGCTCAATAAATTGATATTAAAGACACAAGTGAATACCGCTGTTGTGTGCATAGCAGTTTAATTTCAATGTAGCAGTCAGTGAGACGGAATTGTGTTAATTACCACCTTGCAATGCCAGCTGCTTATCATAGATTGCTATGTGCAGCGGTCTGACTGCGAAAACTGTGGAAACCAGCTCGTTCAACTAAATTTGGCCATGCTGGATCTTTTTAAAGTGTAGATTAGCTGGTACAATTTTCTGTGTAAGGAACATTGTCACTCATGTTCTGAATGTTTAAAGCGGCTGTGTCATCAGAGGTAGTCTATGCAACATCTTACAACAAAAGAATAAACCTTTAAAGGAACAGTATAGGGACAGGAACACAAAATTGTATTCCTGATCCTATAGTGTTACAATCAGAATCTAGACCCCCTTCCAACACTCCTTGCCTCCTTTAAATATAGTAAAATCTTACTTTTGTGGAAGTCTGCAGTGGCTGGCTCTGCCCCTGATCTGCCTAGTTGCCTGACATCATCAGCAGTTATTCTCTGAACCAATCACAGTTTTTTCCCATAGGATTGGCAAAGACTTTCAAGAAAGCAGATCAGGGGCAGAGCCAGCACAAGTCAAACACAGGCTTGGCTATTCAGCATCTCCTCATAGAGATAAAACAATGCATCCCTATGAGGAAAGTTCAGTGCCTCCTTGCAGAAGGTGGAGACACTAAATGTCAGTCACACTGTGCAGCACTGCCCCAGGAAGCACCTATAGCAGCCATCTGAGGCGTGGCCAGTGGAGTTATCCCTAGGCTGTAATGTAAACACTGCATTTTCTCTGATAAAACAGTGTCTACAGCAAAAAGCCTGAAGGGAATGATTCAACTCCCCAGAACAAATGCGATAAGCTGTAGTTGCTCTGGTGACTATAGTATCCCTTTAACATGTCTATAACATTTATTTATAAAGTATTTTACCAGGAAGAATACATTGAGATTTCTCTAATTGTCAAATATGTCCTGGGCCCACAAATTCTGCATTGGAAGTTCAACTATCCATTCAGTAGGTTTGGGTTTGTTTTGGTTTTATTTTCAAGCTAATATGGACAATTTTGGGTACTGAACATCATCAGAAATTTCATATAAAATGTCCTTGTCCTGCATAGTGAATGCTGGGATCTAATCTGCAAATCACATACTCTGATTGGTTTCTGACTTCACATGACCTCTGTAGCCTTGTGGGGTAGTGTGCTTTCTAGACGGTCTCAGATGTTTTGGAAATGTCGATGTCCTTCTAAGATGGCTGCCTCCTGAGTGAAACCGTAAACTATTTCCATTATTGTATCAAACTGATTTATGTAAACACGTTTTCACTTTAGGTCAATCTGGCTCAATTTGTCATATTCTTTCAAACTCTCTTCTTGACTTGATTTATTTTTTCTTCTGGTTTAGAATAACATCTGTACTCCACAGCTGAAAAGTGCCAATTGTATCCCATAATTGGTCCATCTGGACACAGAATATCACAAAAGTAATACTGAGACACATTGTGCCCCTATTAGAGTTATAATGTTACATACTTTTCTTAGGAGAGGCTACAAATTCTTCCTCTCTGCACCCATGACAGGCGTTACCCGTGCCAAGTACAAGAGGCTTTCAGTTAGTTATTTGCGATGTATAATTTCATGTCGCAAAACAAAGGAAGATCATCAAATACCGATTTCCCTTTGGCCATCTGTCTGATCAGAACAAATCAAATTCACTTTGTTCTGGAGCCAATTTTGTTGTATTGTGCTCAGAGAAAATATCTATAGGGTGTTTGGTTTTTTGTTGTTTTTAACAGTATGTAAATGAGATTGTTCTTAAACATGTTCCATATTACTTAATTAAAATTTAGATTTTAGCAGAGAACCTAAAATGAATCAATGTGTAATAACGTATCATATACTTGGGGGGGGGGGAGGGGGAAGGAATATTTGCAGGACATTCTGCATAGCAACCGCTACTGTTGATTGATGGGGTACTTAATCACTAATGTAGTGTACATCCAGTGTTTGCTTTGTCACCAGCATCGATGATGCTAGGGGATCTGACCTGGGCTCGAGCCTCGTGCAGGGGCCTGAAACATCCTGGATCTAAGTCCTCTGTAAAATTGAGGGAGTAATAACACCATCAATTACATCATTGATGAATAAACTATGTCAAAATATGTAAGACACTTAAACTACTTGTGAAAAAGCGTGTGTGTTTGTTTTGTAATAATTTTACCCTTATACACCTTGCAATGTAGATATATCAAGACTCCTCTAAATCTTCATAAACACAACAACAAAAATTATCTATAAGTATAATACAAATAGAACGTAGAGTAGTATTGCACAATAAGCAATATAGATCCTGTGGGTTATTTCACTGGCAAAAGTAATTTGCTTGTATGCATATCTCCCAGAACGAGGTACACAAATTTTTCAGCTTTTTCCAAATGAATTGTGGACCTAAAACTAGAAAAGAGGCAAACGCGTAGTGCAGAATGTCCAAATACAAAACACTCTTTAAATTAAATTGCACTTACAGAATGACAAATGAATAGAGGTACATCACAGTGTTCAGGAACCAAAAAGCAATCAACACCCAGTAGTCCAGGAAAAACCAGGCACGGGAGATACACCTTTCACTCCAGGAAGATGACAATGCGGCTGTGTGTCCAGTAATGTGCTTGAGTTTTTTGGAGCTGTTCCTTGGTGTCCCCAAAAGTAGGACACCAGGGTATAAAACCTGTCCCGCTGTAATTGGGATGGTACGACGCCTGCCCCTGGTCATCTATGGTTGCAGTCGGTGTTATGCAATATGTTTTTGCAAAGATGCATGCCATTTTTATTCTGTTTGGGAAGGATCGTTCTTTAAAATTCTACTTTGATTAATAGCAGCAAAAATAAAAAATATAGTCTTTCTTTAGAAATCCACCTGTATGCCATTTATCCCTGGGCCATTTTTTTTCCATTGCAGGATGCCATTGGTTCCATTTAATCTTTTCTGTCTATAAATAAGAGCTGCATACACTCATTTCGTATGGTCGTCTGTAGTTAGACAGCGAATACTAACAAGCATTCTTAATTCCCCTGTTTATGTATTTTTTAGTTTGTCTTTTTCATTGTATGTCATATCGGTTCTATACTCATTTCAAATGTGATCATGAATTTAAAATTGATTTGTTATAGCTGAAATGACACAGCGTCTATAAGTATATAAAATATTTTTCTTTCTTTCATCTCGTCCTCTCCTTAACCCCCCAAGGCTTGGCCGTCTGCCAGCTCCGAGGATTTTCAGAAGCTGCAATTTCCGAGATTAGGAACATGGACATGAAATCTAAGAATTAAACATGATTGCTCTCTTGACATTGAGAAGCGTGCAGAACTGACGATCCTTATGGCTATGTACGATGAGGATATTTTAAACAATCCTTTTTATCTGGCAATCCAAAAGCAAAGGCCTGACCTGATTGATAAAGTAGCAGACGTTCATGGAATTGTAAGTAAAAAGATTCATGTCTTCAATTTTTTAGAATAATACCTAAAATGGAATGAAATTTCTTTAGGGGTGTCCTCTGACAGGTTTAATTTTTTTTTTATTTCTCTGATTCATTTGTATTAAATGTGCTTCATCTTTTTTTCTCTAAAGATATATTTCGGTAACATGTCCTCTAGCCGTCATCCTATCAAATGCTTCTCAACTGGAAGCATTGAATTCAGTTCTTCTCTGTGAGCTTTATTTGATGATGTTCGGCATCCCAAATGGACATTGAATGTCACATGATGAAGTGAAACTTGGTCATGGCGGCACAAGCACCCATAGTGCCACTATATGCATGTTTAACGCTATAATGTTTTAGATTGAAGAACTAAAAGGGCAGGATCACTGCACCCAGACCACTTCTTTGAAATGGATAGGACTAGGTGCCTTAAGTGATCCTTTAACTGCTTTGTGACCGATAACCTATCAGGACTGTCATAATATCGTAGGATTTGACTAACCCTTTTTACTAAAGAGATTAAAATTGAATTGTCGCCTCAATCTTTGAAAGCCGTTTTCTGTTCCTTTTTGTTTATATTGCTGTACATAACGTGTGTTCGTTTCATCACATATCATGTTGTGTATATGGTGTGCTTAAGAGAATGCAAAACTAGTGAATGCAAAGACATCCTTTTGGTATTATGTAAATACTTCTGTATTCCACATTTAAAATTGTATCTTCAGTAAGTGTACAGTAAGGGAGAATGAGATTTTAGGACACAGTCTCAACGTAGCACACACTCGCAGGATAAACTCGTTTACACGCCTAGTGAGTGCGGTACGCCGGTAGCTACGGTTTACCAATGTCGTCTATGGATCCAGATTACGTTGCCGTAGTATTTTAGATTCAGTCCATGCCAAGATGGGGTTTAAATTAATTCCTTGTTGGATATTACATTGTGTGTACAATTCTGGAAAGAACAACACTGCATTTCATTTTGATAAAACTTATATTTATGTTCCTGATCTTCATGTATATTCAGATCTTGCTAGCTGGTCTCTGTGCCTCATCAGGGGTCATGGTAGAGCGCTTTTGAGGTTTTTAATAGGTAGCCAGATAATGATTTTTCAGTGTCTGCCCAAAACTGAGACGTTTATTAGATTTTATTTACTTTAATGTGTATATTTAGATACATGTTCCTGGCAGTCATGACCACTCTCCTTTATACTCCATTAGGTAAATGCCTATATTGCATGCTGTATATGTTTCTTATCTTACTATGTGTGACAAGTGTGTTATAAAGTAGCCTATCAGTATCAGATCCATCTGATTACTATGCCTGCTGTAATTGTTGTTCCCAGGTTTGTTTTTTTCTAAACTCCAGATACCTGAATATTATCGGGCACATTTAAACATAGTATTATTCAGCACTCAGTGCATTATACTATCCTGAGTGTGCTTCGATCTCTGCCCGTTTCCGTGAGTTTCCCATGTTGTCACGACTCTCATGACTGTGTTTTCTGAAGTTTCTAAACATCAGACCTGGGCTGCCCTCTGCCATGTCTCTTACAGATTCCCGTACAATACTGTCATTCATACATCTGGGGATTTTGCTTGTTTGCTTTCTTTTTGTACCCCCTGCACTGTACCAGTTTTAGTGTCGGCTTGCTTCATTGCTCAACCCTTAGGGCAAGCTGATACCCATGTGCTGTCTAATGAAACTGGATCCAAATACCAAACTGTGTGTGGATTTCACGCTTTTTATACTTCTGGCAATGAGAACACACGGAGTTATTCACTAACGTGAGAATTGTCAAGAATATAAAGTCCATTTCAAAGTTAAGGTCAAAATAGATGACGTGGAAACTTAGCTGATTTAGAGATTTTTTCATGCTTGGCTTTGGCAGCCACTTTATCCTTAAATTTCAAATATACTTTGACTTATTTTGAAATTCCCAACAATTTTCATGTTGATAAATAACCTTGTCCAGCATACACTAATGGGCATTTCAATGTTAGGGTGGCGGTATCGCTGAATTCAGGTTAGTTTATAGAACCGATTTCGTTAGAGAAACAGGAAGTGACCTTTGCACATGATTAGAACTGTTTCCTTTTTGGATTATCCAAGAGTAGGAATCCAGGACTGCATCCATCACAGATTAAGTCAGCCTTCTTTGTTTGAAGCCATGCAACTTATTATAGTTTATGAAAGCAAGGAGCTAATGAAAGATTCTCCACGCTTAGCTTTTCTGTAGGCCATCACTATAAAAATGAGACATGTCCCTTGCACCAGGTTTCTGTTGCCAACTTGATGACCGAAGTAGAAGAAATGCATTTTCAGTTTTCTCCATGGTGGTGATTTAGGAAATTCTCCCGTCACTTTAATTCTCTTGGTTGCCAAGTCCTCTTCATTTGGCGGAAACCTATATTAATTGTTCAACATGGTGCGACGGTGCTGCCATCTCATTGAAATGCACCTATCCTAGCTGAGTTCAATGTTTGTTTTAATGATTAAACACAATAAAGAGGTGTGAAAGAATCCTGTCTTTTAATGAGATGTATTGTATTAAGAGGTCCAGTCTTCCTATTACAACAAGATTTACAGCTTTAATTAACCTCGAAGTAATGCCTACCCTGTCCATTAAGCATTCATTCTTAATATGTATCCGGTGTTGCCTTAACTGGCCAATTATTCTGAAAAATACAAATGCTGCTCCCTGTGTGTTTTTAATCGAGTGAGAAACTTGTAGCATAATTTTTCTGTATTTTAATTTATCTGGAATCGTTTTAGATAAATATGACCAGCATGTCACCTTCAACTGGAGACATTGATGGGAAATAAAGATTTAACGGCTGCAATTAAAGCATCATTTGTTCTTTGTATCCATACAATTATCTTATCCCCCTAGCCGTATAGATTTCTGAGACAGACCACGCATTGTGGCCTCTCATTAATCCAATGTCATTGTCACTGTGTTTAAAGAATTTGGAACACTGAGCTTTAAAGAGGATATGAATCTTTGCTTCAGTTTATTGAGAAGAACACATTTAATGAAGTTTAGGTGTGTGTGTGTGTGTGTCTCAGCATGAAGTGGGCTGCCAATAAGTTTCATCAATTTTTTTTGTCACTGACCATCATTTGATTACTTTTTGCATTTTGATTGGCTTCTTGATGTTTTCACAGCCAATCTTTGATTTCCAAGTGTGAGGATTCTTTTTTTTTCTTTTTTTTTTCTTACCTGTTTTTCTTAATGCCAACGGAACTTCATGAATTAATGAAGAACAAAATTGGCACAACTCATAATATACTGACACGGATTTCTCTTCAAAGCTATTTTTATGAAGGCGTTAAATGGGGCTCTGTGTGCTCAAAAGATTATACGCTTCCTTTGGATAATGCAAGCTCTGATCTCCACCCTGACTAGTCAGATTTCTTGTGAATATCAGATGATATTTTGTCATTCATTTTTTCCCCTCCTTTACTGCCTGTGGCAAGCAGTTTTACACAATAAATTTTGGAATTACAAGTGTTTTTATTGTGCCATAATATCACTGATCATTATATAGGTTTTATATTTTTTTTTAACTGATGTCTTTCTTTTCACTGATTAATGTACATGCACTTGAAAGTTGTTCTATAGAAGAAATGTTAATTAAATAAATCTTAGAAGACACTCCAGGGACACTCTCTAAGCAACGCGATCACCATAGCTAAACCACATGCAGCCAGAAGATAGCATCTACTAGAGGACCAGCCCGGAACCTCTCGTTCTGGCCTATGGGGTCTGATTCCAACCCATAAACCCTGCTTAGGAAGTGTTTATAGTGTTTGTTTAGCTGAGCCCCAGTTGAGCAGCTGAATACACTCATAGCAGCCATAATGCAAATACTCCGTATATTGACAGTTTTGTGATTGGAGCTTGGCACAGTGTTCTACCAAGAATGTAAAAACACGTGCCGTCCAAAAGCTGGATAATGAAGATAAGAGGGAAACTTATCACATTGATATTTCTTTCAAATATTTGCTGTTAGAACCAGACGTATACAGGGATACATTGACAGTGGCCCTTAAACAAATGAAACAAAAGCTGTTTGGCGTTAGAAATGACATTTCTGCTGAGCTTTCAATTTCTGTAAAATCTTCCTGTTCAATGCCTTTCATCTTTGCGCATGGATAACACAGGATCCTGAGCCCTCTACATGGGGACCGTTTTTAGTCTTGTGGCTAATCTTGTGACAGCTCGACTGTTTCTAGAAGGAAGAAATTACTTCTCTGTTCTGTCCGTAAAAAAAAAAACAAAAAACTCAGAACTGGTTTGAATGAGCTATTCCAAGAATGAAACAAAGAAGGTTTCTTCGCTGTCAAGTAGCAGATACAACTTATCAGATTTCTGTGTAATTATTTGTTGTGTTAAGTGATATCAGCTCTGTAACTGTGAATCATGCTGTGATAATGATGCTGGGTTCTTGTTAGCACAAATCAGTCCATTTTATGCGGTTAATACTTCAGAAGTGATTTACGATTCCTTTATCTGATATCATGACCTTTGGTGGAATTGAGCACAGCTCTACTCATTATAGCAAGCCTAGAAAAGGAGAAACGATGATTTTGATGATAATTCGGCAGATTGATTGGCGTGAAATGGCGGCTTATCTCATTAATGTAAAAGGCCGCTGCTTTTAATGGCAGTTCTCTGTAGGGGGCACTGCAAGGTTTCCAATCTAAGCAGGCTCATTTTTAATTATTTCTCAGAAATTGTTAAAAGCAAATTATGACATGACAGATGATGTGTTTATTGCAATATTTATGCTCGGTGATTAAAACTGATTAAGTAAGTAAGGCATCGGGTATACCTACACCTTTTAATTATGTATATGTAAATTTAATATGTGCTAAATAATGGCGCAAACACCTCTGTTGTATATACCTGTGTTTCTTTTAGTGTATCAGTGAAATAATTAATAATGTTATAATTGGGGTGGAAATAGAAGTTTTTTACAACATGCATTTCAATGAAAAGTGTTTGCAAACTTATTTCACATTTTATTTTAAAATTAGTGATACACTGTACCAAAAATACAGCACAACTCATTTAGATGTACATGACGAAACCATGAAGTTTATTAGCCTGAATAAAACATTCGTGGTGCAAGGCAGCAGTTTTTCCCAAAGATGCTCTGACAAGCATTGGATTGGCCGGGAGATAATTGATAATGATGACCTTCTAGGTATGGAGGAGAACTGCGACACGTAACCCTCTACCTGCTGGATTATTATCTTAATGCATTATTTTACAGGAAAGGAAGGCCCAGTACACTAAACAACATGCCATCATTAAAAATATATGTATTTATTTAGAATGACGGAGTGCTCCTTTAATTACCTATAAAGTGTTATCATATGTTGTGTACAATATATTGATCTGTATACAATGTTCATTTTATTGGGGTTTATAGGATGCATCTTGTGAAAATGCTGTGATAACTAATTTTAATTTCTCTTTTTCTATGAGGTGTTGGTGCCATGCAAAGGAAGCCTATCTAATATTTCATACACTGCCTACCCCTTCGAATCATACGTCCTAAAACCCACTGAAGACGGATTTCACACAGAAAATGGAAAGGTAAATATCATTAATTCATGCCGATCCTTTCATTTTAACGCATTCTGCAAGAATGCAGGCTTTGATGACCTAAATCCTCTACAAATCCGTTTAGCACTGACCCCATTTTTGATCTTTTCTGTGCCAGAGGGCTGTTCAGTGTCTTGTAATGCAGTGAATTTCTCCTCTCATCTGGCACTCATGGTAAAAAGGTTTATTAACTAAATTTTGAAATGCAGTGGCTGCTACTCAACATGTGAAATGATAGGAGCTGATTCTAGCGTTATTCGCATGATTAGGATTTGCATTGGTAAAAGAAAGGAATTGGTTGGATGAGAGTCCAGGTTTTTTATTTTTTATTTATGCATTTCATAGAAGTGTTAAAAGGGGCACTCAAGTTTAAATTTCAATTCACTTTTGCTGCTTCCGTCTGCTCTGTTTTCATTTACAATGAAGCGGCGTCATCCAGTTCACAACCAGACAGCGGACTGATAGAGTGGAGTCTTCTCCTGATACCCACATTTTGACTTCCAAAAGTTCAGTTCAGGCAGTGCTGTCCCTAAACTGAATATATATATTATGATATGAAATGAAAGTAATTTTTTTAGAATGGGGAAGGATTGGCAAAGGAGGCAGGCTCATCATAAAAACATTTGAAAAACACTTTATTTAGCAAAACAAAATATAATCTTTAAAAAAAAATTACAACATATTGATGTGTGAAATGCACCTTTATGTAAGAGACAGAGTTGTGGATTTGTATGAAGTGAGCACACCACAATCGAATGGTCCAGAGAGGTTGTTAGAGAAGAAAAGAGACATAGTTTTGGGAATGATTATTTTTTTAGCCAGTAAATGATTACATTTGTGAAGGCACATAAAGGGCAGTTTGTTATTGCTATTGGTTTGTAATTAACTAAAAATAAGCAGAATATAGGAAACTTGATCCTAAATGCGTTGCGTGAAATTAGAAGGTCTTTTCTCTAAAACACTTGTTACTTTTGTAATGTTTGGGGTGGGAAATAATCGCAATGTATTTATATCTGAATTCCTTTGCAGGAGATTTGCATCCAAGGAAACTTGGTTAAACTGGGTGCAGGATTTACACACCATCTCTCCGTACCGATCCTCTTTGAAGAAACTTTTTACAATGAGCGAGAAGAGAGTTTCAGCATCTTATGTCTTGCTCGTTCATTAGAAAAGGATGAGCACGTAGGTATGTCTTTAATGAGTTGCAGATTGGGCTTACGCCTTGGGACCCAGCCATTATGTCCTACTCCAAGAATATATGGGATATAAATGTGTAGTGTTTTTTTTTTTTTCCATTCAAATAATTGGATTGTGACTTGTAATTGGGGCCAGCGTTGTCATTTGTAGGCCTCTGTCGTGTTGTAGGTCCCATTCTGTTTGCTTTGGTCACTTGGGGTTTGGCAGCTGCAGTGGAAGGTATCTGCATTTTTCTGGTACACACACCTCTTTCTCAATGGTCTGCAGATGCCTGACGGTTGGTGGGATGATAATCGGCACGAGAGCACAATGTTATGGCATTGTGTCGTTGAAGTGAGGGAGGTGTCTACCAGGGAACTTGTACAGATCCCCCTGTGATTGTAACACTGTAGTACCTCTCAGAAATGGGATTAATAAACTACACAAGGTCTTTAAAAAAACAAAACAATAAAATAATTATTTTTTAAAATTATTTTTGGTTTTAGTTAAGACTATATCTATTCTTTATGTCCCGTGTGTTTTTAGAAGAACCCGTCACACCACCAACCACTTGCACTTTGAAGAACATAGACGATGTGAAGGAATTCTTAGGAAAACATGTTGAGAGATTCGATAAAAATGTTGCCTCTTTCCGCAGCGTATTTAAAGTACATGAAAGGAAAAGTCTCCGCCATTACATTGTGAGTTCACCCTGTATTTTATGTACCAATTTCTCTATCAATTCATCAATATAAATGGTTTTAAAAAGGTGTATTCAAGGATATATTTAATATATATGTGAGCAGGCTATTCCATGCATCCACTACCCTCTCTGTAAAGTAATAGTTCCTGAAATTATTTTTAAATCCTTGCCCCTCTAATTTAAGACCATGTCCTCTTGTTGTGGTAGTTCTCCTTTTATATATAGTCTCCTGCTTTACTGTGTTGATTCCCTTTATGTATTTAAATGTTTCTATCATATCCCCCCATCTCGTCTTTCCTCCAAGCTATACATGTTAAGATCCTTTAACTTTTCCTGGTAAGTTTTATCCTGCATTCCATGAACCAGTTTAGTAGCCCTTCTCTGAATTCTTTCCAAAGTATGAATATCCTTCTGAAGAAACAGTCTCCAGTACTGTGTACAATACTCCAAGTGAGGTCTCACCAGTGTTCTGTACGATGGCATGAGCACTTCCCTCTTTCTACTGCTAATACCTCTCCCTATACAACCAAGCATTCTGCTAGCATTCCCTGCTGCTCTATTACATTGTCTGCCTACCTTTAAGTCATCTGAAATAATTACTCTTGTATCCCTTTCCTCAGATGTTAATGTATTAGGGCAGGCATAGGCAACCTTCGGCACTCCAGATGTTATAGAGAACATTTCCCATGATGCTTTGCCAGCATTATGGGTGTAAGAGCATTACAGGGGGATATAGTCCACAATATCTGGAGTGCCGAAGGTTGCCTATCCCCGTAGTAGGGTATCAAATATTCTGTACTCTGCCCTTGGGATTTTACACCCAAGATGCATTATCTTGCACTTATCCACATTAAATGTCAGCTGCCACAACTCTGACCATTTTTCTAATTTTCCTAAATTATTTGCCATTTGGCTTATCCCTCCTAGAACATAAATCCTTTTGCAAATTTTAGTATCAGCAGCAAAAAGACATACCTTACCATCAAGACCTTCTGCAATATCACAAATAAAAATATTAAAGAGAATGGATCCAAGTACAAATCCTTGAGGTACCCCACTGATAATATACTCCATGGACTACAACCCTCTGTTGCCTGTCATTCCCAACAACCTTTCTTGTGAATGCGTACAATTTCTGCTAATTTCCAGTCTTCTGGGAGTACTCCTGTTAACAATGATCGGTTGAATAAATCCATAAATGGTTTTGCTAGTACACCACTGAGTTATTTTAATAATTTTGGGTGTATTCCATCAGGCCCCATCGACTTATTTGTCTTTACTTTTGAAAGTTGAAATAGAACCTCTTCCTCTGTAAACTCACATGTAACAAATGCTCATTTGTCCTTTTTCTTAACTGGATTTTTAGCTGTAAATACTGAACAAAAATATTCATTGAGGCAGTCAACTAGACCTTTATCCTCTTCTACATACTTTCCTTCTTTTGTTTTTAATCTAACTAATCCTTGCTTTATTTTCCTTTTCTCATTTATGTATCTAAAAAATGTTTTATCCCCCTTTTTTTACTGACTGTACTATGCTCTCCCCTGTGTGTGCTTTGGAGGATCTTATAACTTGCTTTGCCTATTTCTGCCTAATCTAATAGATGTGTCTGTCTTCCTCACTCTGGGTTTTTTTATAATTCCTAAATGCAAATTTTTAGGGGTTTTTTTTATTTTTATTTATTTTTTACTATTTTGGCCACTTCTGCAAAGTACCACAGTGGTTTTTTAAATTTTTTGCTTTTACTGACAAGCCTAATGCAATTTTCTGTTGCCTTCAGCAGTGCAACTTTTAAATAATCCCATTTCTCTTGGACTCCATTTTAATTGCTCCAGTCTGATAATTACTCTTTTACACATATTCTAATTTTAGAAAAGTCTGTTTTTGTTTTTTTTTAAAGTCTAAAACTTTTGTTTTTGTGTGGTGTGACTCATTCACTTTTCCTAAATTAAACCACACTGATGATAATAACTTCGCCCTTCATTCTCATTTTAGCTATTTCCTCAACTAGTAGATTATCTAACTCTTCTATTTGTCCAGGGGGGCCTGTAAATCACACCTACACGAGTTACTGTGTGATTACCAAATTCAAAGTAACCCAAACGGACTCTATGTTCGCCTCACTAACTTTTATTAGGTTAGATTTTATGCTATCCTTCACATACAGGGCCACCATCTCTATCCCTTTTTTTGTCTACCCTGTCTTTTCTATTTAAAGAGTACCCTGGTATTGCTATATCCCATTCATTTTTCTCATTATACCATGTCTCAGTAACAGCCACTAAATCTACATTCTCAGTTGCCATTATTGCCATAAGTTCATGGATCTTATTCCCTAAACTACGAGCTTACCATTTTTTAACACACTCGCTACAGTTACTTTCTGTCCTTGTTTTGGGGGCAATTGGATTGATGTTTTATCACCCTTTTGTCCCCCCCCTCACCCCCTCCTAGTTTAAATACTTCCTAGCAGAACCTCTGAACTGCTCGCTGAGAACATTTGTTCCCTTTTGAGAAAGCCGCAAACCATCTTTTTTGTACGGTTTATTTCTATACCAAATAGATCTACCATGAGAAACAAAGCCAAATTCTTGCTCCCGACACCATTCACCAAGCCACAAGTTAAAGTCCTTAATACGCATCCGCCTGTCGTTCTGAGTATTATGCACAGGCAGAACTTCAGAGAATGACAGTGTGGAAGCAACCTGCCGTATATCATTGGCAAGAACACAAAACCCTTCCTTTACCTCAGAAACCTCATTACAAGCCAAGTCATTTGTCCCTAGATGGACAAGTACATCCAATTCCTCTTCCTGCTTTGCTTGCTTTACAATATTACAGATACGTCTCCTGTCTCTGTGAGCAATAGTTCCAGGAAGACATCTCACAAGGCCACCATTGTCCAGCTCAACACCTCTTATGATAGAATCCCCCAACAACAACTGCTTTCTATCAGGCCTTACCTTGTCCTTTTTGTCATTGGCTGCACTCTTGCACACCTTAGAGGATGGTGGATGGCATAGAGGATGGTGGCTCCACAAACACGGTGCCTGAGCCTGTCTCCGTAGCACCACTACAATCTGAAAGTGCAGAAAATGAATTCTCTTAAGACACAGACTGTGTAGTATGACTTTTATCCACATCTCTAAGTCTACCAGATCCTACACTAATCCATCTGCCATTCCTAGGACATCTCTGTAGCAAACTCGCCCCTTTAACGGAGTTTGCCATGTATTCTTGGAGGGGGCTGCTGGCCCGCCTCCTACCCAGTGATTATGGTCCCAGGAAGATGTGGCCGTTTAAGTACAATATTTGGGCATATTGGATTTGTATGGTGCTGCTAGCCCTTTAAGAACCATTTTGGGGCATGGCGAAAATTTGGGACAATGCCCCTTTAAATCTGTGTCCCCAGACCTATTTGGGACAAGGCCCCTTTAAGACTGTGTGTCCCCAGTGTCCCCAGACTTGTTTGGGACACTGCCCCTTTAAGACGGTGTCCCCAGTGTACCCAGACTTTGGAAATAACTTTTAAATGGCTTTTTCCCTTATGTTCGGTAATTGGGGCTTACCGAGCCATTCACTGCACAGGCGGACCACCCAGAGCTGGAAGTGTGCAGGCAGTTTACCTCCCAGGCTGGGAGTCTGCTGTAGGTAAATTGCCGAATGCTGGGTGGCCGCAGTTCGTGCAAACCAACATGTGGTGGCGGCCATCTTTTTTCAATCAATGCGGTCAGCGGTGTGTGGAGCCAAATTCATAGAACTGAAATCGGCTACACAGTTCCGCGAACTCTGCTGAGCCTTACCTTCTCCCACAATGATTTTGCAGCCGCAGAGACTAAGTCCCATTCGGCGATTCAGTCATTTTTTCAGCCTGAAATAGACCGACCGCACAACCCAAATCTATGGAACCGTTTTGGGAATGAAAATGTGCTTGCGGTTGGTCAAAAAGTGACCTCCAGCTAACTTTTTAACCCCTGGATGGAATTGGCTGAATCTTGGATATGTCTATAATTAAAGTGTGCTGAGTTCGAATATGTGATTTTTATGTTTGTGGCATGTATATTTTGGAAGTTATTAATATTTTGTAAAAACTGTATTTCTCTGCCTGTGATAATTTAGTTAGTCTATTGTGTTGAGATAATTATATCACAGGCGGAGGGGAGGAGATGTGTGGGAGGTAACATGTATCCGATTGGTGAATGTACTAATTATTGTGGGTGTCTCCCTTGCATGGGAACATTGCATAAAAGCAGGGAATGTGAAATTAAACCTCAGTTAAATTCTGCTCCTGATACTGTGTGTCGTCCAGTTATTGGGAAAGGTGATGGGATATTATTGAATTTTACTGCTGATTGTGCCTGTTATGCTGCCGGATTATTCTCTCACTGCGGATACTATGCCTGGGATTATTGCTTGTTCCTGAGCCACACCTGGACTACCAGCGGAAATAGTCTGTGAGAGACCAGCGTTCCGTTACAATCTCTGTGGCAGTGCATTTGTTTAACAGATAATTTACAAATCTCAGACTTCACATCATGACTGCATATTTAATTGAAGTCCTTTACCATCACAAAGGTAATTAGCGTCTCCCTAACGGGAATTTGTATTCGCTTATTTGCCTAATTTAAGCCATGGGTGACCGCATTCATGTGAATGTGTCTGCCTTTCAGTGCAAAGGTAAACCTGAACAGAATGGGCTCCTGTCCAGTCTTGCATCTACTTTTTTATCATAGGGAATTTCTCTTGTGTAGTCTCACATAGACTGTCCGGCTTTTGTTCTTTGGGTAGTTTGGCGATCGTGAAAGTTGAACATAATATCTAATATCTTTAACCAAAAATCAATGCCAACGTTCTAGCGTCCATACTATGACAAGATTACACCTACCCTATCTGAACGGGGCAGAGTCCCACCAAGAATTCAATGTGATTTCCTAACTGTCCTGATAAGTCCATAATGTTTCTCTTTTCAGGATTCTGTCAACGCTCTATACACAAAGTGTCTGCAGCATTTGTTACGAGATTCCCATCTGGTAAGATTACCTAGTATTCCTCCATGTTTACATCCGTCTCATCCCTAAATGTCTTCGTCTTTTTATTTCCACATAGTGATCACGGCTATTTCCCCTGTTTTTAGAGAGCGATTTCAAAGCAGGAAACGCAGATGAATTTGATGAAGCAAGCAGTTGAGGTATGAATTTTTTTTAAACTTAATTTTCTTTTGCAATCTTTATTTAATATGTTAACTTTAAATAGACAAAATATAGGATATATAATAAGAGCATGTAAGTCTTTACATTAACGGGACTTTTGGTGGAGTACATCTTCATTTACTGAACAATATGTGTCTGGTCAAGGATAATTTTTCCTCTCTCAGGAGAGATGGTATGGGGACCCTTGGTAGCGATGATAATAATAAACACATTTGCAAAGTGATTGAACTTTGCCTAATGATTTAAAAGCATAATCAACAGAGGTGACCTGAGCCCAGTAGCAATCATTTGATCCCTATAGCCATGTAGTCACATGGAGACATAGACAGACAAACAGGAGTAAATGAAGAAAGGGGGAGGAGAGGGGTAGAAAAAGGGAAAACAGGGGCTAAGAATGGGGGCTCTCACCCCATTGGTCTGCTTACAGGGGTTTCGGAAGTTGGATAGGGAAATAAAAAATGCATTGGTTGTCTTGTAGAACAGCTATGACCTTGTTGTCAAAGGTAATAATGCAGAGTTCATGTGAATGTTGTGTAGGAGAAAAATAAAAAAAAGTATTTAATTTTCTGTTTAGATGTATGTTCATCATAGCATCTATGACCTGATCTTCAAACAAGTAGGGACCATCGAGGCAAGTGAGGTAATATTCCAGAAATGTTTTATTTCTACATCATCGTCATACTTCAAAGTACGATCAAAGTGCTGTGTGTTGGGAAACAAACTGGCAATAATATTTAAATATATTAGAATTATACTATGTTATTCTGAATTGAAACAGGAAATGGATGTGCTGGAATGTGTGTCTGTATGCTAGTTGGGTATTACGGTGTTTATCCGATGGAAAAGTGTGTATTAGGATAAGGGGTACATAGATTGTATTGCTGAGTTTGTGTGTAAAAGTCAATTTGTGAGTAGTTTGTCATGTAATGTGTCAGTAGGATTTGAGGTGTATGTTCTAAAAAATGAGTGTGAGTAGGATACGAAGTGAATATTTTATATAGTAATGAGTGTGAGGTGGATGTAAGATACATGTTCAATGCAGTAATGAGTGTGTGGTGTGTTCTATGCAGTAATGAGTGTGAGGTGGATGTGTGATGTATGCTTTTTGTAGTAATGAGTGTGAGGTGTGTTATAGGCAGTTATGAGTGTGAGGTTGAGGTGAGGTGCGTTCTATGCAGTAATGAGTGTGAGGTTGAGGTGCGGTGTGTTCTATGCAGTAATGAGTGTGAGGGGGATGTGAGGTGTGTTCTATGCAGTAATTTGTGTGAGGTGTGTTCTATGCAGTAATGAGTGAGGTAAAGGTGAGGTGCGTTCTATGCAGTAATGAGTGTGAGGGGGATGTGAGGTGTGTTCTATGCAGTAATTTGTGTGAGGTGTGTTCTATGCAGTAATGAGTGAGGTAAAGGTGAGGTGCGTTCTATGCAGTAATGTGTGTAAGGTGCGTTCTATGCAGTAATGTGTGTGAGGTGCGTTCTATGCAGTAATGTGTGTGAGGTGTGTTCTATGCAGTAATGAGTGTGAGGTGTGTTCTATGCAGTAATGTGTGTGAGGTGCGTTCTGTGCTGTAATGTGTGTGAGGTGCGTTCTATGCAGTAATGTGTGTGAGGTGTTCTATGCAGTAATGAGTGAGGTAAAGGTGAGGTGCGTTCTATGCAGTAATGAGTGTGAGGTTGAGGTGCGGTGTGTTCTATGCAGTAATGTGTGTGAGGTGCGTTCTATGCTGTAATGTGTGTGAGGTGCGTTCTATGCAGTAATGAGTGTGAGGTTGAGGTGCGGTGTGTTCTATGCAGTAATGAGTGTGAGGTTGAGGTGAGGTGTGTTCTATGCAGTAATGAGTGTGAGGTGTGTTCTATGCAGTAATGTGTGTGAGGTGTGGTCTATGCAGTAATGTGTGTGTGAGGTGTGGTCTATGCAGTAATGTGTGTGCGGTGTGGTCTATGCAGTAATGTGTGTGAGGTGTGTTCTATGCAGTAATGTGTGTGAGGTGTGTTCTATGCAGTAATGTGTGTGAGGTGCGTTCTATGCAGTAATGAGTGTGAGGTTGAGGTGCGGTGTGTTCTATGCAGTAATGAGTGTGAGGTTGAGGTGAGGTGTGTTCTATGCAGTAATGTGTGTGAGGTGCGTTCTATGCAGTAATGTGTGTGAGGTGCGTTCTATGCAGTAATGTGTGTGAGGTGCGTTCTATGCAGTAATGTGTGTGAGGTTGAGGTGAGGTGTCTTCTATGCAGTAATGAGTGTGAGGGGGATGATAGGTGCGTTTTATGCAGTAATGAGTGTAAGGTTTAGGTGAGGTGTGTTCTATGCAGTAATGTGTGTGAGGTGCGTTCTATGCAGTAATGTGTGTGAGGTGCGTTCTATGCAGTAATGTGTGTGAGGTGCGTTCTATGCAGTAATGAGTGTGAGGTTGAGGTGAGGTGTCTTCTATGCAGTAATGAGTGTGAGGTTGAGGTGAGGTGTCTTCTATGCAGTAATGAGTGTGAGGTTGAGGTGAGGTGTCTTCTATGCAGTAATGAGTGTGAGGGTGAGGTGTCTTCTATGCAGTAAAGAGTGTGAGGGGGATGATAGGTGCGTTCTATGCGGTAATGAGTGTGAGGTGTGTTCTATGCGGTAATGAGTGTGAGGTTGAGGTGCGGTGTGTTCTATGCAGTAATGTGTGTGGGGTTGAGGTGCGGTGTGTTCTATGCAGTAATGTGTGTGAGGTTGAGGTGCGGTGTGTTCTATGCAGTAATGAGTGTGAGGTTGAGGTGCGGTGTGTTCTATGCAGTAATGAGTGTGAGGGTGAGGTGTTTGTTATATGGAGTAATGAGTTTGAGGTGTATGTCCTGCAGCAGACGTTATGAATTTAGAGCCATGCACTTTGTGAAAGCATTGACCCTCTAATTATTTTATTGACTTCCTTGCAAGGATGCAGCATTTAACAAGATTACCCGGAGCCTTCAGGATCTTCAGCAGAAGGACATAGGAGTGAAAACAGAGTTCAGGTAACACAGAAATTTAGTTTGGAGACCATTTGAACTAAATCCCATATACCCAATACCCTTGCCAGAAAGTAGACTTTGTTCTTTAGTATAATGAAAGCAGACGGTCCAGGTCATCAGTGAGTCGCTGCCTTTTGATAGGCAGACACGTAGAAGTTGCAAGGTGAGAGGAGCATTAAAATTCAAAGAATAATATGTACTTCTACTAGAGAAGCCTCCCTTTAAGAAATGCAATTTAAAAAAAAAAAATTTTTTATAAGCTATTAACGTTTCAAAGGAATAGGTAAAATGAAGCACTCAATCTGCTGTCAAACTACAACTCTCATGATCCTTTCCAGTTGTGTGTCCATCGAGTTGGGCTAGGCATCATGCAAGTTGTATTTCCCAGTAACTGCAGAGAGGACTTTTGGCAGGTGATGTTATATGATGTGCCAGTCAATTTTGATGTATGTGAAACTGTTCAGCATTTACAGTAGAAAATCTAAACAGCTGATTCTGCTTTGTAACTGCATCCATCCGGTAATATATTCGTATGGGGGTGAGTTAATATGGAAAATATGAGGACAGAAAACAGAATATAATGTAGTATGTTCTACAAGTCGTGAGGTAAAATAAGAGAAATGCCACTTGCAATTTTCTTGACCTTATGTTTAGCTGCAGATATATGCGTCTCGGCTGTATGATCACCACCTGTGGATATGTCACTCAGCTTGGTTGCTTGTAGATGGTAGGTCAGGATCAAAGGCCAGTTGAGGTGTTGAGCGTTCACGGGTATTTCCCTCTCAATTGCAGTGTTACAGATATTCACCAATTACATAAAATGAGAATAAAAGCAGAAAATAGTGCTCTCTGTTTTGTTAGTGTAAAAGCAAAATAAAATGAGGTATATTCCCATAAGGAGAACAAAAAATTAGTTTTTTTGCTCATTCCTGTGTAGCGTAGGTGGTTTACTCCCCACCAGGGAGATAAAGTGTGGCTCCTTCGGATAAAATCTTCAGGGATAAAATCAGGAAGGTTCAGGTAAGGTAAAAAAACTAGTTTTATTTAAAACAAAGATAATAAAACCAATTACATAAAAATACTAACGCGTTTCACTCAAAAGGGTCCATCCCCCCCCCCCACCCCCAAAACACTTTTTGGTAACACTTTGAAAAAGCCACTCTGGGTGAAACACATTAGTGGTTTTATGAGATTTTATCCGGAGGAGTCACACTTTTAACCTCATTGGTGGGGAGTAAACCACCGACACAGGATTGAGCAAAAAACTCAGGACTCCAAGCAGAGAGCACTATTTTCTGCTTTTATTCTAATTTTATGTATTTGGTGAATACCTGTAACACTGCAATTTGGAGGAGAATATCTGTTAGCACTCGACACCTCATCTGGCCCTTGACCCTGACTTAGCATCTACATGGACCCAAACTGAGCGACATATCCACAGGCGGGGATCATACCACCCGGGCTGAGTGACAAATCTGCAGCTGAACATAAGTTAAAGAAAATTGTAAGTGACATTTGTCTTATTTCACCTCACCACCTATAGAATATACTACACTATATTCTGTTTTCTGTCTTTATATTTACAATATTAACTCGCCACCATACAAATTTGAGGACACCCAGAAGGCACTGCTTCCCTGTACACTTTCCTGACCTATACCTGGTTAATGCCAGATAGAACAGACTCCGGTTTGGTTTGGGAAGTACCAGCTGCCATTCCCGAATCTAACAAGCGCTAGGAACCTCACCATTGCACGTATCTGGTAATATATAGAGTATAGGTTGCCTTAGAGATAAGGTCACAAAGCTGACTGCACTTTTATACAACAGAGTAATTAATTTACCTACTGGATCAGCACGATGATGGCACATATATTTATTTATGTATTTATTACTGTTATTTATAAAGCACCAACAAATTCCACAGCGCTGTACAATCAGTGAAAAACGTACAATATACACAGACAAATACAAAAGGTAGAGATATGGGGCCATTAGATCTCTGGACGTGTCTCTTTGCGAATGATCCACTATGTTTTTATTGTCTTTTGCAGTATTAATATTCCCCGTGCCAAGCGAGTGTTGGCTCAGCTGAACAGATGCACTTCCCCACAGCAGAAGCTGATCTGTCTCTGGAAGGTTGTGCAGACCATCATGCATTCTCCAAGTCAAAGAGGTTAGTTTTCTGGGGTAAACTGGGGATTTGTGTTTTCGTGGGAGGATGAATGAGCCAGGAAATGTGTTTTAATCCTGGGCTCTGGCAGTAGTTGTATGTTTTGGCAGGATGTAGTTTTGTGTGCCTGTGTATACTGGCAGTCTGTCTCTGTATGTTTGTGTATGCTGGCACGCTGCCCCTGTGTTTGTGTATATCGGCACACTGTCTCTGTGTGTGTTTGTGTATACTATCCGGCTGTCTCTGTGTGTGTTTCTTTGTGTTTACTGGCACACTGCCACTGTCTTTCTGTTTACTGGCACACTGCCACTGTGTTTGTGTATACTGGCAGGCTGTCTGTGTGTGTGTGTTTGTGTATACTATCCAGCTGTCTCTGTGTTTGTGTTTAGTGGCACACTGACACTGTGTTTGTTTCTGTATACTATCTGGCTGTCTCTCTGTGTGTTTGTGTACACAGGCAGGATATGTGTATGTGTGTCTGTGTGCGTGTACTGGCAGACTGTCTCTATGTTGGTTTGTGTCTTTATTCTCAGGCTCTGGATATGTATTCATGTTTTTCTGGTTCAATCTTTAGTAAACATGGAGATGATGTGCGCTGATGACCTCCTGTCTGTGCTGCTTTACCTACTTGTGAAAACAGAAATTCCCAACTGGTATGTGTGGCATTGGCTTCTTCTCAGTATGGTAATGTAGGGACTTTCTATTCAATAGATGATGTAGGGATAGTCAAAAAATATGAGACTGTTGACTCAGGGTAAACAGAGTTTACTGCCGGTTTACTCTGGTATTTACGTTGTGAATCCTGCAACAAATTATCTAGATTATCCAATCATTTCAATACATGCATCAGTGCTCGGAATATGGAGAGAGGCATGATTCAGTGATTCTGTCTGTGGAGAGATGCAGGGTTCAGTGATTGAGTCAGTGGTTAGATGCAGGGTTCAGTGATTGAGTCAGTGGTTAGATGCAGGGTTCAGTGATTGAGTCAGTGGTTAGATGCAGGGTTCAGTGATTGAGTTAGTGGTTAGATGCAGGGTTCAGTGATTGAGTTAGTGGTTAGATGCAGGGTTCAGTGATTGAGTTAGTGGTTAGATGCAGGGTTCAGTGATTGAGTTAGTGGTTTGATGCAGGGTTCAGTGATTGAGTTAGTGGTTTGATGCAGGGTTCAGTAATTGAGTTAGTGGTTAGATGCAGGGTTCAGTGATTGAGTTAGTGGTTAGATGCAGGGTTCAGTGATTGAGTTAGTGGTTAGATGCAGGGTTCAGTGATTGAGTTAGTGGTTAGATGCAGGGTTCAGTGATTGAGTTAGTGGTTAGATGCAGGGTTCAGTGATTGAGTTAGTGGTTAGATGCAGGGTTCAGTGATTGAGTCAGTGGTTAGATGCAGGGTTCAGTGATTGAGTTAGTGGTTAGATGCAGGGTTCAGTGATTGAGTTAGTGGTTAGATGCAGGGTTCAGTGATTGAGTCAGTGGTTAGATGCAGGGTTCAGTGGTTAGATGAGTGGTTAGATGCAGGGTTCAGTGATTGAGTTGGTTAGATGCAGGGTTCAGTGAGTCAGTGGTTAGATGCAGGGTTCAGTGATTGAATTAGTGGAGAGATGCAGGGTTCAGTGGTTGGGGATGCAGGGTCCAGTGGTTAGATGCAGGGTTCAGTGATTGAGTTAGTGGTTAGATGCAGGGTTCAGTGATTGAGTTAGTGGTTAGATGCAGGGTTCAGTGATTGAGTTAGTGGTTAGATGCAGGGTTCAGTGATTGAGTTAGTGGTTAGATGCAGGGTTCAGTGATTGAGTCAGTGGTTAGATGCAGGGTTCAGTGATTGAGTTAGTGGTTAGATGCAGGGTTCAGTGGTTAGATGCAGGGTCCAGTGGTTAGATGCAGGGTTCAGTGATTGAGTTAGTGGTTAGATGCAGGGTTCAGTAATTGAGTCAGTGGTTAGATGCAGGGTTCAGTGATTGAGTCAGTGGTTAGATGCAGGGTTCAGTGATTGAGTCAGTGGTTAGATGCAGGGTTCAGTGATTGAGTCAGTGGTGTTAGATGCAGGGTTCAGTAATTGAGTTAGTGGTTAGATGCAGGGTTCAGTGATTGAGTCAGTGGTGTTAGATGCAGGGTTCAGTGATTGAGTCAGTGGTGTTAGATGCAGGGTTCAGTGATTGAGTCAGTGGTGTTAGATGCAGGGTTCAGTGATTTGAGTCAGTGGTTAGATGCAGGGTTCAGTGATTGAGTTAGTGGTTAGATGCAGGGTTCAGTGATTGAGTTAGTGGTTAGATGCAGGGTTCAGTGATTGAGTGAGTGGTTAGATGCAGGGTTCAGTGATTGAGTGAGTGGTTAGATGCAGGGTTCAGTGATTGAGTGAGTGGTTAGATGCAGGGGTTCAGTGATTGAGTTAGTGTGGTTAGATGCAGGGGTTCAGTGGTCGAGTTGGTGGTTAGATGCGGGGTTCAGTGATTGGTCAATTGGTTAGATGCAGGGAGTTCAGTGATTGTGTCAGTGGTTAGATGCAGGGTTCGATGATTGAGTTAGTGGTGTTAGATGCGGGGTTCGATTGATTGGTCAGTGGTTAGATGCGGGTTCAGTGGTCAGGTCAGTGGTGTTAGATGCAGGGTTCATTGATTGAGTCAGTGGTTAGATGCAGGGTTCAGTGGTCAGTGGTTTCAGTGATTGAGTTAGTGGTTAGATGCAGGGTTCAGTGATTGAGTCAGTGGTTAGATGCAGGGTTCAGTGATTGAATTAGTGGTTAGATGCAGGGTTCAGTGGTTAGATGCAGGGTCCAGTGGTTAGATGCAGGGTTCAGTGATTGAGTTAGTGGTTAGATGCAGGGTTCAGTGATTGAGTCAGTGGTTAGATGCAGGGTTCAGTGATTGAGTCAGTGGTGTTAGATGCAGGGTTCAGTGATTGAGTCAGTGGTTAGATGCAGGGTTCAGTGATTGAGTCAGTGGTGTTAGATGCAGGGTTCAGTGATTTGAGTCAGTGGTTAGATGCAGGGTTCAGTGATTTGAGTTAGTGTTTTTTTCATGCCGGAGACACCAATCTGCCAAACAGGAAACCATTCGAACGCTGTAAACAGCCGAATAGGAAAAACCATACGAAAGGTTTACACTCCTAGCAGTCGAACTGGAACAGCATACAATAAATCCCCCCAAGAATGAGACAAAGCTCCGTGTTGAGGGTCAAGCAGTGAACAGACAGAGCTGTGGGTTTATTGTTCTTATATACACATTCTTACACATTAGTACCACCCACAGGGTTTTGGAAAACCACCAATAAACACATACAATACACTCAGACACTCCCACACAAAATCCTCCCCTCTGCCTGTGAAACAATTACCTTACATAATGGGTTAATGTAATCAAAGACAGAGAAATAGTTTTTCCTCATTATTCATATTCATACTTTATTCATACTTTAAAAGTATGCATCACATTCACATAACACTTACATTTTCAGAATCAGCATACCCCAAATACAAACATATGTCAAAATCATCCAATTGAAGTCCTTTGTGACCAAATGAAGCATGGCTTTTCTGCCCAAAACCAGTTCCACAGAGTCTTCTATCCTGGAGATAATTGGGAAGTAATCCAATTATCTCCAAGGACAGAGGCAAAACTCCATTGAACACATGGTAAAATACATAAAAATATATAACTGTGCAGCTATTGCATAAAATAGATTATAATACATTCCCCAGATAGCTTAGGTCTGAGCACACATTATTATTGAATGGCGCTCAGATAACATTCATACAGTTCAATTGCCATGGAGCCAAAGTCTTTCACATAGTCTTTCGTTATACGAATGGGCTACATGGCATAGCTATCTGGGGTATCACTATTCAAATAGGGCAAGTACCGAATGACCCGGCTTTCGTCTCTTTGCAGGGGAAAATCAAGCATTTCAACATGGGGCCATAGTCTAAAGGCAGCAGGCGGGCAACCAGGCTCCTCCAATGCACAGTGGCGAGATTGGTCTCGTCACCTCACGTTTTGAGTTATTTGAAACAGATCCAACTTTATTATCTCCAAAATCTGAACAAAATTAAATGGACATTTTAGGCACCCAGACCATTACAGTTCTTTGAAGTGGTCTGGGTGCAGTGTCCCTTTTGCACTTAGTGCTGCAATGTAAACATTGCAGTTCCAGAGAAAATGCATTGCATTTTAAGTCTACCCACAGTGGCTGTCTACCAGAAAGCCACTGGGGGCGCATCATGGATCGAAACGGACCTTTGGTCCGGTATCTGACGCTGGACATCTTCAGACTCTGCTTGAGGACATCCAGCGTCCGATATTTCCCCATAGGAAAGCATGTGCTATAGAAAATTGCTGATTTTCTAAATCTTCATATTTTTCTTTGTTTCCCAGGATGGCAAACCTATGCTATATTAAAAACTTCCGATTCTGCAGTGCGGTGAAGGATGAGCTGGGATACTGTCTGACCTCGGTAGAAGCTGCTATTGAATTTATCCGCCAAGGAAACTTAAAGGAAACTCCTGCTGTGAGTGAAAATCGGTTTGTAAAACTTGCCAGAAACTTATCACAGAGCATTAAAAGGAAGAATATATTTCACGGAGTCACTAAAGTAAAATATACCACTTGTGAGTTTTCAGATATATTTTAAAAGATAAAAGTCGAATTACTTCCCAATTCTACCTTTTACTCTTGACATCACTTGATTTAAATATCGGGAACTAATGTGCTAAAGTGTGAGGAGACAGAAGGGGTAATTAAATTGGCTTAAATTGTTTTATTTCAACTTCTTTGTGCACCCCACACTTGGCCAGTTAACGTATTTTACTATATGCTATAAACTTTATACTGTTTGCTTTTTATGAGGGTTTCCCTTTCAAATGAAAATGTCATGGATGACAAATTCAGATTTTAGTAAAATTCTAACCTTTTGTTGAATGCATTTGTACAAAATGAGCCATAAAGCTGTAGATGAAATATTAAAGATGTCTGAAGACAAGATCTGGGTGTCTGGTGCAGAATGTTAACGCGTTTGGCAAAAATATGAACTTGTGGAGCCTTTAAACACGCAGGTTTCCCTATGTAATCCTGAACTGAGAGCTCAAGAGGTTGAGTTTGGCTTTAAGTAAAGCTTCATGAAAGTCGAATGATAGTTGTATTAGATGAAGCCTTCACTAATTACTAATCTGTCGGATGTGAGAGAAGTGCAATACATTTTACGCCCCATTTTATGATATTTGTGATCAATGTATATTTATAGAAAGTGATTAATGTGTATTTGCTAGAGTAATACTTCCTTTTCAAATAATTAATTTTTCATCTTCCCATCACCAGAGTGGTGGACCGATACATACTCTTTCTGGTATTCCATTAACATTAATTTCTATTAATGGTATGCATTAGCAGAGAGATTCACAGCATCTGAATACTCAGTGGGTCCTGAAGTGAAACGCGTTAGTGGTCATTAGCGAGGCTTTTTCATGTGAAGCTCATTTCTTTATTACACAAGTAATTCTGTATTGATTTAGCTGAAAGGTATCACAACATGTATAGATGACAATGAAATACTGTTTCTCATGTTGTCCCAACCTAAAATTAATCAGATTTTATACAATCTGTCTAATGAGAAAATATCTTCACTTTCAGGAATCAGACAAGTCATTTTTGTGGCAGAGGATGAACTTAATGTCAAGAGTCTCTACAGCCCCAATTGATTGCCTATTCAAGGTAATCAGTGTAATATTTAAAAGTCAATAACTGAAAAGGTTTTTTCAACCCATATTTCCCTGATAGTCTTGTCCTTTACACGCTTGAGTAAAGCTTTAAACAATGCAATTAAAGGATCGCTAAAGGCACCCAGAACATCTCATCTCAATGAAACGATCTGGGTGCTTCGCTTTTAGCCTTTCAGTCTAAAAGATGGCTGTTTAGTAGATACAGCAATGTTTCTATTGCAAGGTTAAATATGCCTCTAGACAATGTCTTCGTGACAGCCACAAGAGGTTCATGCACTGCAGCGATGGGGTTTCACTCATGATCGCAAGGTCCATGAGGATGTCGAACATCATCAAACGCAGCTCATAGAGAAGCAGGGGAGTAGTGGATTCAATACCTTTTGATTAGGCACATGTGCGACATTTGCCATGCATGCACATCTTGTCCCTAGTGCTCCTCTGTAAAGAGCATTGAATTGGACCATCAACGTGGAAGTAACACCTCTAGGTTGACGTCTCGGCGCTGGAAAAAAGGTAAATTAAACTTTTTTCCTTTTTTTTTTTTTTTTACAGTTAGAAAAAAAAATGGGTGGGGGGGTGAATATAGGTATGAAGTAGGACACTATAGCGTTATTAATATAAGTTTGTATTCCTAATTGTGTACTGTTCCTTTAAGGTAGAAATGTTGTCAAGTTCACATGTGGATGGATTAAAACAGCGCTCAGATTACATTAGTATTTCAGAATATTTATTTCCCTTATCAAAGCTCTAGGTTGACTTTCTGATTTCAAATGTCTTAGACCCAGTGGAATAACATCACTCAGCCTAGAGACGTCAAACTTGATATCAGTGGTGAGATTTACCCAGTAAGGAACCACCACCCCTGGCAAGTCTGCTTATTCCTACATTACCAGTATCTTAAAGATCCTCCACTATGCAAGGGGATTAAATGAAAATTAGACAAAACTCTTCCTTAAACAAATAGATTTGTTTGGTGACTAATCGATTTGTCCGGCATAGGTCCCCTTTTGATTAATTTTTAGACTGGTTAAAAAAAATAAATCAAGAGTGGTTCTATGCCTGACTGATCGATTTGTTTGACAATGAATGCACATGTCTTATGAAAACACATGGTTTATAAATTATGATTGTTATGTGGTTTCTTCAAACCGAGCACCGAGTTATGATCCTCTCACTTTATTAAATGCGGGGAACCTGCAAGCGAAGTCTCCATGGTAGAAACTGTTAGGGACGTGTGGAAGTTTTATAGATATTGAATGTAGTGTCTTGCTAAAAATGAAAACTCTATAAAATTGAGTCATTTACAAAATAATAGTCTTTGCAATATTACTTTTCTTGTTTCTCATTGTTGAGGTGATGTATCATATTGTATGACAGGGACATGTTTTAAAGCTTTATCCTTCTTCATACTGCGTTCTCCTGTCTCAATTAATGAGAAGCCATTATTTGTTTTCTCACTAATAACTAATAAATGCAGCATATCGCCTCCGGAAATCAGGAAGAGGTAGAAAAATTACTGAGCCACGGTGACAATGACGAAGATATTGCGCAGAAAATGTGCCATCCGCTCTGTTCCTGTGACAACTGCGAGAAGCTGGTTTCAGGGTACGTGTGATCCTTTCTGGCAATGCCAGCTTAGTGCCCCCTTGATTTCCCTGTGTCACAAATTATATTATCACTTCCTCTTCTGAAATGAGTTCTAAATGACTGTCTGGAAAAATACTTTCACTATTGTTTTAGTCTCTGATTTTATATCCTTTTAGCATTATCCTCTGCTTGTAATCTGGTATGTCGGTGGAAAGTTGATCTCAGAAGACAGATGATCTGCCTTTTGAGATTTGTCTTGAGACTGATAAAAACTAAACTGATTATCTGAAAGTCACTGCCCCCCCGACTTGTATATAGGCAACAGACTATAATATAGTTCAATGTAGTATGGTTTGTTTGTTTTTTTTTGATTGTGTGTTTAGCACTTCAATCATATTGTGTGTTAAGTTAACAATGTCATCTCTTTCTTTTCAGCAAGCTAAACGATTCTTCGGTGGTCACACCATTTTCCAGAGATGACAGAGGCTATACACCACTTCACATTGCAGCAATTTGCGGTAAGGACAACTATAACAGTAACACAATATGAATGACACAACTCAAAACAATCTTCAGACCACTGTGTCAGCACGAACATGTCACATTTGAACATTTTTAAGTGGCAGGAAGGGTGAGTTCCCATGTTGAATGCCATCATTAGTTCATATAAAACCAAACAGGGGCATGTCTCTGGAAATGACCGGATGGAACTCTGATAGAATGATAAATAGCTGGGATGGACGGATATGGTGGTTAACCCTAAAAGACTGTTCTTATCCCATTTCATTGTGTTCCTCCTAGGGCAAGCGCACTGTATTGATCTACTAATCTCTAAAGGTGCTGCGGTTAATGCCACTGATTACCATGGGTCAACTCCACTCCATCTTGCATGCCAAAAAGGTCATCAAAAGATCACAGTAAGTTGATATCGGTTCCAATTTCCTTAAATAAGAATAGCTAGATATTATTTATTTTTCTATAAATGAAATACAGTCCTAAAATATAGAGATTTGATGAATGGCCGTATTATTAAGAGTAATTTATTTTAGTAAGCTCCATAGGGCCTCGTTTGATTCTCATAAAGCTCTCAGCCCCAGTCAATACACATGATGGGTCTAATACATCCCATGTCAGTCTTGCTGGGTAATGGTACTGTCCATGGTATGTTGTCCGAGAATTAATCCAGTGTTCTTTGATTCCCTTTAAGCTGCTTTTGTTACACTATAAGGCTTGTAGAGACATACAGGACAATAATGGGAATACTGCACTTCACTTGGCCTGCACATACGGACATGAAGATGTAAGTACCTCCTGAATGCTGAATAATTAATCGTACATTTGCCGTTTTAGTCTCTGATTTTATTGCTTTTGTAAAGTGCCGTTCGGTGTTGCTTCTCTTTGTAGTGTGTGTTGTTATTCTAGCAAATATTTCAGAACATAGAAACAGAAGCCAAAAGCTTAGGGGATTTCTTTATTTCCTTAGGAATGTAGACCGTGCAGATTGTGGAGTTTGACCTTTAACTTGTGTTGTGTTATTTTTTTTTCCTTATGTTATGCTCTGTTTTCTTCAAACAATCTAACAAATGACTTTATGATCCAATAAATTACATTGATATTGGAAGAGTAGGAAAAACATTATTTCTGTGTCTCTCTCTCCATATATTATGTTTATTGACCGCAAAGAAGAGATCCTGTAACAATAGCATTAGCCAGACTCTATAGCAGGACTGCACAACAGGTAGATCCCCAGATGTTGTAGAACTACAACTCCCATGATGCTTTGTCATTCTAAAAGCATTCTAAAGGCATGCAAAGCATCATGGGAGTTGTAGTTCTACATCATCTGGGGATCTACCTGTTGGGCATCCCTGCTCTATAGAATGGAAGGTTCTACACATTTAGCATTAGCCAGGATCTATAGAATGGAATGTCCTACACATTTAGCATTAGCCAGGATCTATAGAATGGAATGTCCTACACATTTAGCTTTAGCCAGGATTTATAGAATGGAATGTCCTACTCATTTAGCGTTAGCCAGAATCTATAGAATGGAATGTCCTACACATTTAGCATTAGCCAGGATTTATAGAATGGAATGTCCTACTCATTTAGCGTTAGCCAGAATCTATAGAATGGAATGTCCTACACATTTAGCGTTAGCCAGGATTTATAGAATGGAATGTCCTACACATTTAGCATTAGCCAGGATCTATAGAATGGAATGTCCTACATATTTAGTGTTAGCTAGGATCTGTAGAATGGAATGTCCTACTCATTTAGTGTTAGCTAGGATCTATAGAATGGAATGTCCTACTCATTTAGTGTTAGCTAGGATCTGTAGAATGGAATGTCCTACTCATTTAGTGTTAGCCAGGATCTGTAGAATGGAATGTTCAAAACATTTAGTGTTAGCCAGGATCTATAGCATGGAATGTTCTACTCATTTAGTGTTAGTCAGGGTCTGCAGCATGGAATGTCCTACTCATTTGGTGTTAGCCAGGATCTATAGAATGGTATGTCCTACACCAGGGGTAGGCAACCTTTTAGCAGCACTGTGGCGATATAGGAGTGTGATGTCCCGTAGCGTGCCGGTCCTATTTTTTTAAATTGAGGTGTGTATGCTGCCGTATTCTGCTTGTGTTATTTTTACTGTGATTGCTTTGTATTGTTGTATATGTGCGTAAATGAGCTATTATATTGTATATGTTCAGGAGTAGTTTATGGTATCGTGTATGATACATATGAATGTGGGCTGTGTATGGGGGTTGCTTATGGAACTGTGTGGATGGATATGTCACATTGTGTGTTTGGTAGTGTGTGGGGGCTGTTTGGGGTATTACATGTGAGAGGCTGCATGTGGGGTTGTGTGCATGTACAGTTGCAAGAAAAAGTATGTGAACCCTTTGGAATGATATGGATTTCTGCACAAATTGGTCATAAAATGTGATCTGATCACAACAATAGACAATCACAGTCTGCTTAAACTAATAACACACAAAGAATGAAATGTTGCCATGTTTTTATTGAACACTCCATGTAAACATTCACAGTGCAGGTGGAAAAAGTATGTGAACCCCTAGACTAATTACATCTCCAAGAGCTAATTGGAGTGAGATGTCAGCCAACTGGAGTCCAATCAATGAGATGAGATTGGAGGTGTTGGTTACAGCTGCCATGCCCTATAGAAAACACACACCAGTTCTGGGTTTGCTTTTCACAAGAAGCATTGCCTGATGTGAATGATGCCTCGCACAAAAGAGCTCTCAGAAGACCTACAATTAAGAATTGTTGACTTGCATAAAGCTGGAAAGGGTTATAAAAGTATCTCCAAAAGCCTTGCTGTTCATCAGTCCACGGTAAGACAAATTGTCTATAAATGGAGAAAGTTCAGCACTGCTGCTACTCTCCCTAGGAGTGGCCGTCCTGTAAAGATGACTGCAAGAGCACAGCGCAGACTGCTCAATGAGGTGAAGAAGAATCCTAGAGTGTCAGCTAAAGACTTACAAAAGTCACTGGCAAATGCTAACATCCCTGTTAGCGAATCTACAATACGTAAAACACTAAACAAGAATGGATTTCATGGGAGGATACCACAGAGGAAGCCACTGCTGTCCAAACAAAACATTGCTGCACGTTTACAGTTTGCACAAGAGCACCTGGATGTTCCACAGCAGTACTGGCAAAATATTCTGTGGACAGATTAAAACAAAGTTGAGTTGTTTGGAAGAAACACACAACACTATGTGTGGCGAAAAAAAGGCCCAGCACATCAACATCAAAACCTCATCCCAGCTGTGAAGTATGGTGGTGGGGGCATCATGGTTTGGGGCTGCTTTGCTGCGTCAGGGCCTGGACGGATTGCTATCATCGAAGGAAAAATGAATTCCCAAGTTGCAACAGGACAATGACCCAAAGCATAGAAGTAAGTCAACCAACAGAATGGCTTAAACAGAAGAAAATACGCCTTCTGAAGTGGCCCAGTCAGAGTCCTGAGCTCAACCCGATTGAGATGCTGTGGCATGACCTCAAGAAAGCGATTCACACCAGACATCCCAAGAATATTGCTGAACTGAAACAGTTCTGTAAAGAGGAATGGTCAAGAATTACTCCTGACCGTAGTGCACGTCTGATCTGCAACTACAGGAAACGTTTGGTTGAAGTTATTGTTGCCAAAGGAGGTTCAACCAGTTATTAAATCCAAGGGTTCACATACTGTTTCCACCTGCACTGTGAATGTTTACATGGTGTGTTCAATAAAAACATAGCAACATTTCATTCTTTGTGTTATGAGTTTAAGCAGACTGTGATTGTCTATTGTTGTGACTTAGATGATGATCAGATCACATTTTATGACCAATTTGTGCAGAAATCCATATCATTCCAAAGGGTTCACATACTTTTTCTTGCAACTGTATGTGGATTGTTAGCGGGTTACGTTTGTGCGGATTGTTTGTATGTTTGTTTGTGGGCTGTTTGTATTATTTGTATGAGGGGAGGGTTATTCTGCATTTCTGTGTATATCTAGCAGTGTGTGTGGGTTCCCTGGTACAGGTCAAGGACAGCAGCTGCAACAGCAGCTGCAGGCTGCTCTACTACAGATCCGAGATCACTTCCTCTCCATGCTGCAATGCAAAAATTGAGGATTGTCTTTCACCATCTTTTCGTATTAGCAGATATCTGAAGTTTCACTGGGACTCCTGATAGGCCAGAGCCTGTTTGGTTCTAGCAGCCTTGAGTGCCGTGTAAAGACTCCTTGAGTGCCGTGCATTGCACTAGTGCCGTAGGTTGCCTACTCCTGTCCTACACATTTGGTGCTAGCCAGGATCTATAGAATGGATCATCCTACTCATTTAGTGTTAGCCAGGGTCTGTAGCATGGAATGTCCTACTCAATTAGTGTTAGCCAGGATCTATAGAATGGAATGTCCTACTCATTTAGTGTTAGCCAGGGTCTGTAGCATGGAATGTCCTACTCATTTAGTGTTAGCTAGGATCTGTAGAATGGAATGTCCTACTCATTTAGTGTTAGCCAGGATCTATAGAATGGAATGTCCTACTCATTTAGTGTTGGCCAGGATCTATAGAATGGATCATCCTACTCATTTAGCGTTAGCAAGGGTCTGTAGTATGGAATGTCCTATTTATTCGGTGTTAGCCAGACTTTATAGAATGGAATGTCCTACTCATTTGGTGTTAGCCAGACTCTATAGAATGGAATGTCCTACTCATTTGGTGTTAGCCAGACTCTATAGAATGGAATGTCCTACTCATTTGGTGTTTAGCCAGACTCTATAGAATGGAATGTCCTACTCATTTGGTGTTTAGCCAGACTCTATAGAAAGGAATGCTCTATAGGTTTGGTAGAATGGAGTGTCCTACTCATTTAAAGTTGGCAGGACATTATTGAATTTCCTGTTCATTTAAGATTCATTGGATGTAAAGAGCTGCTGCTGATAATTGGCACAGGTTATTAGATCCCCTGATCCGTGATGTCATTGATTACCACTGAGATTGGTAAGGTGCCAATATATCTGTTTTAGTACACATTTTGAAAAGGAAAAGGCATATATTGCATTTATATACACATTACTGCAGCTTTTATTGTCTGGGATAAGTGATGGGTGTTTGCTCACAGTGGGTCCAAGTGTGTTTTATTTGTAACCTTTATTCTTCCAGTGTGTGAAGGCTTTAGTCTATTACGATGTACACTCTTGTAGAATTGACTCTGGTAATGAAAAAGGAGACACTCCCCTCCACATAGCTGCTCGTTGGGGCTATCAAGGGATTATCGATGTGCTCTTACAAAATGGCTCCAGTACGGACATACTGAACAGGAGGAAGGAGACGCCCTTACAGTGTGCTTTAAACTCCAAGGTAATTAGCAGGATTTTCCCAGGTCACCTGGGTATTGGAATATGAGTTTCAGTGTCCAGATTGGTGATAACATATGCCAATGATCCAGACACAGCACATTTTGACAATGATCTACATAGGTTATTGTTTCATTTGGTGTAAATCTAAATAAAAAAAATCTTGAAACTCGTGTCAGCCCTAAAGGACCAAGCTTGAGACAATTTTGCTAAAAATGACTCTTTTCATCTACAGAAAAGTACATGACACACCTCACTTATATTTTTCTGGCAAAATTTGCAGTAAATGTATTGGTTGAAGCTATGTTTATATGAAGTTATGTTTGTCTCCTCCAATATGGCCTATACATAGTTGCAATTATCTGCACCTGATGAGCACAATATCCCAAAATGTTTCTTCTTCTGGAGGGAGGCACCTGTGCCGGCAGCTGTTTGGCATCCATGTTTGTGGTTAATCAAGTGTCGTGGAGCTCAGTATTATGGGGTTTGTTATAGCAAAATGTAGACATCAAGAGCCGATTTATTCCAATGGCCATCAAAGTGTAAGATCATCTGTCACGTCAACGCAAAACCTCTTAGGTAAGTCCTACACGATCAATTAACCTTGCTGTTTTTAGTCAAAAAGCTAAATCTTTAATGAGACAGAGAGAGGTATTTTTTATGAAACACACAAAATCAAATACAAACGTACAAAATTGAGGGGTTTCATCTTGACGTGGCAGGTGAGCTTACACTTAAATGGCCATTGGACTGGTACTAAAAATCTCCATTTATTTAAATGTGCGTAGGGATTTGGGATAGTGCACAAGTACCTTTTTTCTTTGTTTTTTCTTGTATGTATTTGGAATGATGTGTACTATAGTCATTGCTGCTGACCTGGAGTATTGGGATGTTTGTAATTCTTGATTTTAGCCTCAATTTTGTGATTTGGTTTTCAATTCAAATCATTTTTTTGTGAATAAAGGAACACCATAACAGTAGGAATGCAAACGTGTTCCGACTGCTCTAAGTTTACCCCATCTTTTTTGATGTTCTGTAGGAGCCGCATTTGATTGAAAAATGATTCTTCCTGACAGCCACTAAAGGTGTGTTAACCCTGCAAGCGTATCTCCAAAATGGCAATGTTTTTTACGTTGCAGGGTTAAAACGAAAGCCCAATTCTAGTTCTGAGCAGAAGTGGTCTGCATTCCTTTATTGGTCATTTAAGTTCTATAGGTCTGCTTTCTGTTTGACTAGCATAACTTGTAGAACTGTATAAGTTAACTCTTTAATGCTTGTTGTTATGTATTCCCTTTGACAATTCTCCCAAGGCCATCTCATGACAATTTGGCATATTTTTTGTGTTTTATCGGTTCTGTTCATAATGTGACCGATCAGATTATTCTCAAGAAAAGAGACATGGTAACATAGTTTGCATATATTTACCAAAATTGATTGAAATCCATGTGTGTGAAACACCAAACACATTCCACAGTATTCTAATCGCGTGTTGGTCAGCGCTTATAGATAGAATGGGGCACGTTGGCACAGTATTCTAATCGCGTGTTGGTTAGTGTTTATAGATAGAATGGGGCACGTTGGCACAGTATTCTAATCGCGTGTTGGTCAGCGCTTATAGATAGAATGGGGCACGTTGGCACAGTATTCTAATCGCGTGTTGGTTAGTGTTTATAGATAGAATGGGGCACGTTGGCACAGTATTCTAATCGCGTGTTGGTCAGCGCTTATAGATAGAATGGGGCACGTTGGCACAGTATTCTAATCGCGTGTTGGTTAGTGTTTATAGATAGAATGGGGCACGTTGGCACAGTATTCTAATCGCGTGTTGGTCAGCGCTTATAGATAGAATGGGGCACGTTGGCACAGTATTCTAATCGCGTGTTGGTTAGTGTTTATAGATAGAATGGGCAGTGGCGTGTTGGTCAGTGTTTAGATAGAATGGGGCACATTGACACAGTATTCCTAATCGGCGTGTTGGTCGGTGTTTATAGGTGTTAGAATGGGGCGTTGGTACAATTCTAATGGTGTTGGTCGGTGTTTATAGATATGAATGGCGTTGGCACAGTATTCTAATCGCGTGTTGGTCAGTGTTATGGGTAGAATGGTAGCGTTGGTACGTATTCTAATGTGGGTTGGTCAGTGTTTATAGATAGAATGGGGCGTTGGCACGGTATTCTAATCGTGTTGGTCAGTGTTTATAGATAGAATGGGGTTGGCACGGTATTCTAATGGCGTGTTGGTCGGTGTTTATAGATAGAATGGGGCACATTGACACGGTATTCTAATCGCGTGTTGGTCAGTGTTTATAGGTAGAATGGGGCGCGTTGGCACAGTATTCTAATCGCGTGTTGGTCAGTGTTTATAGATAGATGGGGCGCGTTGGCACAGTATTCTAATCGTGTTGGTCAGTGTTATAGGATGGGGCGTTGGTACAGTATTCTAATCGCGAATTTGGTCAGTGTTTATATATAGATGGGGCGGTGGCGCAGTATAAGAATGGGGCACGTTGGCACAGTATTCTAATCGCGTGTTGGTCAGTGTTTATAGATAGAATGGGGCACATTGGCACAGTATTCTAATCGCGTGTTGGTCAGCGTGTATAGATAGAATGGGGCGCGTTGGCACAGTATTCTAATCGCGTGTTGGTCAGCGTTTATAGATAGAATGGGGCACGACACAGTATTCTAATCGCGTGTTGGTCAGCGTGTATAGATAGAATGGGGCGCGTTGGCACAGTATTCTGATCGCGTGTTGGTCAGTGTTTATAGATAGAATGGGGCACGTTGGCACAGTATTCTAATCGCGTGTTGGTCAGTGTTTATAGATAGAATGGGGCACGTTGGCACAGTATTCTGATCGCGTGTTGGTCAGTGTTTATAGATAGAATGGGGCACATTGACACAGTATTCTAATCGCGTGTTGGTCAGTGTTTCTAGATAGAATGGGGCACATTGACACAGTATTCTAATCGCGTGTTGGTCAGTGTTTATAGATAGAATGGTGCGCGTTGACACAGTATTCTAATCGCGTGTTGGTCAGTGTTTATAGATAGAATGGGGCGCGTTGGCACAGTATTCTAATCGCGTGTTGGTCAGTGTTTATAGATAGAATGGGGCACGTTGGCACAGTATTCTAATCGCGTGTTGTTCAGCGTGTATAGATAGAATGGGGCATGTTGGCACAGTGTTCTAATCGCGTGTTGGTCAGTGTTTATAGATAGAATGGGGCGCGTTGGCACAGTATTCTAATCGCGTGTTGGTCAGTGTTTATAGATAGAATGGGGCACGTTGGCACAGTATTCTAATCGCGTGTTGTTCAGCGTGTATAGATAGAATGGGGCATGTTGGCACAGTGTTCTAATCGCGTGTTGGTCAGTGTTTATAGATAGAATGGGGCGCGTTGGCACAGTATTCTAATCGCGTGTTGGTCAGTGTTTATAGATAGAATGGGGCACGTTGGCACAGTATTCTAATCGCGTGTTGGTCAGCGTGTATAGATAGAATGGGGCACGTTGGCACAGTATTCTAATCGCGTGTTGGTCAGTGTTTATAGGTAGAATGGGGCGCGTTGGCACAGTATTCTAATCGCGTGTTGCTTTTACAGCATTCAGTGATTTTTCTAATCCTAGATTCTGTCGATGATGGAAGCTGCCAGGTCCATGAAAGAGAGAACACCGAGTAATTCGGAGGTAAGAAACGCTACAGCTGATTACATTTCTCTGAGATGAAATAATTAGACTGTATGTCGTAATAAGGTGCCTACCTGTGTTTTCTGTGTTGATCACCATCCAGGCCACGAGTAGGTCTCCTCCGCAGTCCACCGACAGCATCAGCAGGGAATCCTCAGAGACAAGTTTGTCTTCACAATCACCTGACACCAGACAGGACAACGTGAGAAGCAAATACAAAGAGGTAAGTAAATCACAATGTTTGTTGCTGGTTTACTTTTCTGATCATTGCATTGCTGACTCCTAAATAGCAAACAACAGGAAATAGGCTTGCTCCAATTCCTGTGTTGTCATCCTGTACCTGCAGGCGTCTCCTCTTGATCTTCTGGTCCAATTCAATGCTTCTCATACATTGGGGGTGAGAAGCCCAAGCATTGCAAGCGCCGTGCTCCTCCAAGCAAATGCTTCTCACAGAGAAGCATTGTATCAAATGCTGCCCTGTGATAATCATCAGGTCCTTGCGCAAAGTGTGAGGACGTGGAATTTCACCGAACCAAACCTGGCTCTATTCCTGCAGCCGAAGCGCACTCTAGTGTGTGTTGGGAAGAAAGCCATGGGAGGTGTGTTTAGTCCTGCAATAAACACATCTAACTAAACGACAATGTATTACATTACAGGACGAAAACAACACAACTACTGCACCCAAACCACCTCAATGAGACGAAGCGGTGTGGGTGCCTGTAGTGGTTTTTTACATTTCAAGAAATTTGTCTTTTACTTCATCAGACATGATGTTTCCTCCAGAATCTTATGTTTGAATTGTTGGGGAGTCTGACAGGGGTTCCAGAGATTACAGATAATTTTTTTAAATCCATTTCTTCTTTCTTTTTGTAATTTTTGTATACTTAGGTGGAGAAACTTTTGAGAGCCGTATGTGATGGGGACTTGGAAATGGTTTGTTATTTACTATGCATTTGATATTTCTGACTGATCTCACACATAGAAAGGGAGTTTCATCAAAGTCAAAACAAGTGCTATTGGGGCAAAGGGCTAAATAAGGAAGAATCACCATGGAAACCAATAGAATATCGCTAAACGTTTGTTTATAATTTTTCTTATTAATTGAGATGACATTACCGTACAAACAGAAAGAGGGCTGACAGAGGGCCTGAACAAATTAACTTGCCGGGTCAGGGCGTAGTGGTACAGGACACTGTAGAGCACGCTGGTTGTTATCTTCCATTTTGGGAAGCTCGGCCTCATGTGGGGTGTTAAGCTTAACTATCAGCTTCTTTCTGAAAATGATGGTATTCCACTCCAGTGGGGACCAGGATAACCCCCACCGATCTGTGAGGAAGGGTGCTGGGGCGACAGATTCTAAATAAATGTTGGCTGCTGGACCAATGTAGGGGACCACCGTTTCTCCTGCCTGGAAATATCCAGCAGGCCGCAGTAAATACTTAGCGAGTCAAAGTATTGTGAAATCAGAAAAACTCCGTCCAGAAGTATAACAGAACAGTTTTCCTGTTACAATAGACATACATTAGCCTCAAACTAGCGTGAAGTGTTGGCTTAATATCAAGATTACGCTGAGGAGCTCCTTTAACCTGCGTCCTGCTTACTCAGCAGTCAGGCTCCGTCCCTTCGTCTCTTAACGTTTAGCACTTTGCACTCAGAATAGCACCTGTTCGCCTCGACAAATCTCCTTTGTTTTGATAACTTTTAAATCACTTAGATTCCATTATTATCCAGTGCTAAAACTGCTAAAATGCCACCTTCACATGTGTTAGATTTATTTTCCTAAAGGTACGGTACAGTTTAGTAAATTTTATAAACATTTACAAATTTAGTCATTTGTGAAACTCAAGGATTTGCTGCACTTACTTTGCCTAAACCTGGATGTAGGTGAAAAGCTTTCAGCCAATCCTGGTGCCGGCATAACTTGTAGGAGCTCAGTGTGTCCATTTGAACTAGTATGTCCCTTTAAACTAGCATAACCGTGAGCGATTATAGTAAGTTGTTGCTAAATAGTTTTCACAATAGATTTTAATTTCTGCTTTAGCGAGTTTGTGCTTCTTTCAATAATAGATACTGTAAAAAAAAAAAAAAAAAAATGTATCCGTACCAACCTCACACAGCTGATCAAGCATTCCAATAAGTGCAAATCACTGCTGAATTAATCACTGACATCCCAAGATAATGGTATACAGGAAAAGACACATGTTCTAGCCCAGAGAGCAGGAAGAAACGTTTATATCCAGGTTAAATGATATGCAATGATTTAGGGGAGTGTAGTAAAACAGGACAAGGACGCACCCTGGGCTTTCTACCTCTGATATGAATGCATTAGATCTGATGATTTTGCCTTGTACTGACACAGTTCATATTGCAATATACAGGTGCGCTACCTCCTGGAATGGGTGGACGACGACTTGGAAGATGAATTTGATCATTTGCCAGCTACAAATAAGGAGTTTTGCCACCCGTTGTGCCAATGTCACCAGTGTGGCCCTATTCAGAAGGTCTGTGACATTGAAAACTTCTTTATTACTTTTCAAAGTTTTGGTGTGGCTAGTAATTTTAGGCATTAAAATGCAAACTATGGAGTAGTTAAAGCGTAATCTGAATTGAATCCTATCCACTGTTTCATATTTTGGGTTTAAACTAGATTAATTTAATTTAATACACAGCGGAGTATATATAATTTACATTTCAGACAATACACTCTTTAGTGAGTAACCCTGTGTGTGTAATTTTTAATTTAGTAAGCAATTTCACATGTTTGACTTGCCCAACTATTACAATGCAATGCCTCCTCCTAGTAAGTGATTTAAAACTCCTTGTGCAGTTTTGCCTATCATAGTGTGTGCTGTCTGAGAAGGATTTGTAATGAACGAGACACAGAACACCTGCTCCCTCACATCTGTGAGGAAGGGTGCTGGGGCAACAGATTCTAAATAAATGTTGGCTGCTGGGGAGCAGTGACACTGGTCACTTCCAGCTAAAATAAGCCATCTGTTCTGTTTCACCCAGGATTGTCACTAACTGATGCATCTGTTTTTGTTTTTCTTTTTATATCCTTCTACAATAGCTAAGTAAGATTCCTCCCAATGGACTCGGGGTCAATGCGACAAGCCGCGATGGATTCACGCCACTTCACATCGCTGCCATGCAGGGGCACATGGTGCTGGTTTCACTGCTGTTGAAGCATGGCGCTAATGTCGATTCCAAGAATGGAAACCGCGCTCTGCCGCTGCACCTGGCCTGCCTTAGAGGGCACTTAGACGTATGTCTTCCCTTAACTGTGTCTGCGATTGTGGACAGAGAAATGTCAAAATCCCAGTTAACATAAAATAGAAACTGGTATAATGGGTGATGCACTGACCGTCCTTAATGATAAAACAATAATCATTGTTACGATGATGGGAACTGTTCGATATTGTATCTCCTTAAGTAGAGTCCTATATTTTTGCGTTACTCCTGATTACTGTATGGATACATGACCGTTTTGTGTCAATGATGATTATTATTATTATTATTATTATGATATTTATAGAGCGCCGTCAAATTCCACAGCGTTTTACAATGGGTGGACGAACAGACATGTAGTTGTAACCAGACACGTTGGACACACAGGAACAGAGGGGTTGAGGGCCCTGCTCAGTGAGCTTACATGCTAGAGGGAGTGGGGTAAAATGACACAAAAATGATGTTATGTTAGTTTTTTACTATAGCCCGGAATAATATTGATTTCACTTTCTTGCAGGTGGTTCAATGTTTGATTGAATACAGCACAGGGAAAAATAAAAAAGATGTTGCTGGCAATACTCCATTAATATACGCATGTATGGGCGACCACATAAACATTGCTGCTGTCCTCCTGGAGGTATTATTAATCTTTCTGACAAAGTCATCATTAAAATAATAATTAAATAATACTTATCAGATTCATACATATATCAGATCACATTTGTTTAGTTCTGATTAAACATTAGAATTGTGCATTCGGTTTCAAGTCTTTTGCAGTTCATCTGAATTTTGTGCAATTTGTCCCAATACTGTAACTCTGTAACTTCAAAACTAAATATGGGCGAATCACGAAACAGGCAATGAACATGCATTTTGTTTCGAGTTTCATTTGTGGCACCAGGAACAGTGGGATTGTAAGGAGAAGCAGCTGTGGGTTTTTTTTTTCTTGTTTTTTTTTTTTAAATATATGTATTAAGAGACACTAATATTATATTTTGTTTTGTGCCATTTTGGTCCTTCAGAATTGTTTTTTTTTCTCAAAATGATCACATGGAAGAAATTTGTCCGAACCGAAACGCCATATGAAAGAAATTTTGTTTGAATTAATTTAATTTTTTTCCACAGGCGAATTGGTTTATATGGGCAAATTTTTCTGCTGTGCACAAATCTATTAAACAATTCAGATTAGAATGGTGTCTGTCCGTACGTACACCTCTGCTATTTGATTGGCTCGCACTTACTGGATTCCCGGAGTGCACGGGTGCTTTTGCATTTACTGCAGCCCACAGTGTTTGTAGTTTATATTTGTATTTTGTATGTACATATTAGATGCGTATAATGGGGGGACCATGTATTATGGGAAAATAATGCCACGGAGTTCTGGAGATATCGTAATAAAGCACAAGACCAAAGGTTGAGTGCTGTATAAGCAAACAATCAAAGACAGAAGGTGTACAACACACCAACCAGATGGCTATATCCCCACGTCCCAGAACAAGGGTAGGTGTATTTCGTAGTACACCTTACACGCTCCACTATTCTGGTTGGTGTGTCGTACACCTTCCTGTCATTGGTTGCTTTTTGGGGTGGAATTGGGAGATATCCACCTGAATCTAGTAGCGTGTGCACTTACAATATTCGAGTAACCACATTTAAGCGCCTATATATTCACAGAGCACTTTGTGATTTTTCTGAGTGCTGTATAAATCTTCACATTCCCAATATGGAATTGCTTCCTCAATACATGCTTTACTCTTGTGATTCTCATTTATTGCTTGATATTTTCAGGTTAGGGTTTAATGTAATGTGTGGTTTAGGATGAGATATACTTACCTGAACCTGTCCAACACAGGCATGGCCATCATGTTCCAGCAGGTCCACTTCAGCTCCTAGTGCTTCAGTATTGAGGTCTATGGAGGATTCCGTGGGATTCTCTATAAAGGGGGGTTGGGTGCAGTGGTGACAATGCCACTTCAATCGATTTCATCTGCCATCCATTAAATTGGGAACCGGCACTGCTTTAGGACCCCCGACTACCTGGAGGTGGTCTTGCGTTATCACAAGTTATTCAGGGGTAATAATTGCACGGATTACGTGATTTTAAAACATGAAATTCCTGTTAAAGTAGTATCATACTCACTAAAATATTACCATCAAATACAATTTGATCATATTAAGCACTTAAAGTGGACTCTGGATATGGAAATTGGTGGTGGGACGGGCCACATCATTAGTCATGGAAGACCGACTGTGCTGCAGCCTCCCCCCCCTTCTTCTTCAACCATCTCTCTTCCGATCCTCCGCTATTACGGTGTTCCTTTCTTAGAGAACGGAGAATTTCCTCCTCCACAGATTAAAATAAAGATGTGAGTATATATTTATTAGTGAGCCTATTTTCAAGACCGACCTCCCTGTCAAAAAGGTGATTGGTTGGAAGACTGCTAGCGTATACGTGGTTCTACACTGACATTGCTATATCTGGAGATTACTTCGTGTTTTTCCTACCATTTTGGTTAGTGTAATATCATTTGTACACAACTAAAATTAATCAGAGACCTGCGCATCTTTTATGCTTTTCCTATCTTGCTGAAACCTGCTAGTTTCCTTGTTTATATACCGTGGAGGTCTGTGCGTCCCTCTAAATTTCTCTTCCATATAAATGAGGAAACTTTCTCTCACCAGAATAAACCGAATTTAAAAGAAAAGTGATACGATTTGATCCGTACATGTGCTAGAGGTGTGATGCACTCTGTGCGCTTTTAATCTGTGATCCCCTCGTGAGCATCAAAATGACATTATTTTTGTTTGCATTCCAAGCACGGAGCATCAGTGAACCTTTGCAACGTGAAAGGTAATTCCGCTTTACATGAAGCCGTGAGAAAAAACAACTATGCCCTGGTTCAGCTGCTGCTATTGTATGGTGCACACGTGGACATCCGGAACAAACGCCAATACACCCCATTGGACTACGTCAAAGAGGTAGGGATCGGCGCACTGTCAAAATGGAGCATTGTACAGTAATACATTGCCTGCTGTAAAGGGTGATATAGGAATATCTTAATGTGCAGTTTCGATGTATGTTTCGATGCTCATGTTGCCTAAAAAAATGTTTTAAGCCCATTCCAGTGATATTTCAGTTGTCCCTTTAATTTACGAAAGGCAGTTATTTAACCAGAAAACCAGGCCTGATAACATCTCCCACCATTACATATTTTATTATTCAACACCGAAAAATAGTGATAATTGCACAGATCACCTCATGGCAAATTGTTAACTATTAGTAAACTCCAACAGGGTAATTCTCCAAACGGTGAATTGTCAACTAGAATTTGACATTTAAGGCCAAAATAGGCAAATTAAATCATTCTCCACGGCAACCACGTGTTCATTTTAGTTCATTTGGCATCAAATTTCTCATTTCTGAAATTAATGGAATCCATGTCCATGGCCTCATTCTTAATGTGTTTCAGGTTATATTGTTGGTTTGCAAACTATAGACTGCTCACTCTGTCACTATCGGAATCCCTTTATTTGGCCTGCCATTTTGTTGGGTGTAGTTGATGCTTTTAATGTCGATTAATCATTTTCTTTTTTGAATTCTGTAAAATGTTAAAAACTTTGACATTTCTTGCACTGAAATATCTAACCATTTGAAACTGAGATGTAAGGAACTTTGATTATTTTTTAATTTAAGAATTCTAAACTCCAACACCTTCTGATGTCTGCATCCAACAACGTGTCACCTGGCAGTGATTCGGTGGATGCAGGAGAGCAGACCACTCACGTCAGAAAGAAATGTAAGAAATATTGCTTGTATCTCTAAACATTGCATTGTGTGATCTTTTGCTCACTTTATAATCGATGCATTTGAAATATAGAAACCTACTCTTTTTTTAAAATGTATTTATTTTTTAAAGCAAGCAACACCAGCCCAGGCCCTGCAGACAGGGGCCCAACTCCCCGACAAGCTGAACAGGCACACTCAAAGTAAGTTCTGTGCAATGGTTTACACAATTGTCAGTGGCTTCTGTCTCTGGGATCAACATAGAACTCTCTGGCTCTCTCAGCTTAAAAGCTTAAAGGGACACCGTAGGCACTGTATCTGCTTCATCTCATTAAACTGGTTATAGTGTATGGAGTCCCCTGGTGCCATCATTTCTTTCAGCATTAAACAGTTTTTAATGTTGTAATGTTTTAATGCTAAACAAGAGACCCCGGCAGTCCATCCCCTCTGTGCTGCTTTAGCTAATAAGGAAGTATTACCCTGAGAGGCAATGGGCAGCTGTGATTGGCTGAGAGTGTCAGCTGACTGCTTTTAACCTGTCAGAGCTCCAACTGACGGTATGAATGGGTATGACAACAAGGAAGTGTGTAATCTCTGTCTTAGCTACACATACTGAAGGGGCCGGACTGTGGGTGGCCAGGGACTCTTATTTTGTGGCATACTGCACAAACATGGTGCAACACTGAATGGAGGGACAGTGCCAGGGCACTCCAGGCACTATAACCAATTCAAAGAGACAAAGTGGTTATAGTGACTACAGTGTCCCTTTAAGGAATTAAACATGAATGGCAGTGCAATGCCGGATACTGAACTTTCGCGGTCCACTTTTTTAAAAGATCGCCCTTATTTGTGCTAAAGGCAGATGGGGCTGTGTTGTATATTAAAGTGGGACAGACACCAGCCATCTGATTTGGTCTGGTATAATTAAGAAAGGAGCCATATTCTAAGGCAATACGGGCATCAGGCCCACCGCAAATTAAACATAAATATATGTACTGAAGGCCATGATTAAAAACTAAAGGGAAATATGCCTTTTGACAAAATACCAATACACAATGTTAATCTCTGGAGAAATTTTAAAACACAAAAAATAACAAGTAGAAGTGGCGCTATATTATATTTCCAAATTCCTATTCTAAAAAGCTGCACCTTAACAACTGCCAACCAAAAACACTTTCACAACATAAACAACAAATAAAGGTGCGCTGTGTCTTTAAGGCTCAATGAGATTCTTGTGCAAAGAGTGTAAATTGCATTATTTAAAGTGCAAACCAACTTAAATGGGTAAAGCTCTCACCCCAGGCCCTTCGGACTTGGTCCGGGTTCCAATATAGAGCAGTTCCTTCTGGGAGGTGGGCTTACGAACCTGCGTGCGTGATGATGTGGGTAGCACGCAAGTTCGTAAGCCCACCTCCCAAAAGGAACTGCTCTATATTGGAACCCGGACCTAGTCCGAAGGGACTGGGGTGAGAGCCTTACCCGAGGAATTCCAAAGAGGGTCCTGGCTTGCCTGCATATTTTAAAGTTTGTCAATAAAGGCTATTTGTTCATTTACATAGCCTGATGCCTGCACTTTATTTTGGAACTTGGTAAAGTTAGAGCAGACTCATCTGCTCTAGATTTGTGAGTGGATACTTTACTACTAAAGCACTTCTACCATATATAACAATATCATACTATATATACTTACCCTTTTTTTTCCTCGTGTATGTTCTCGTTTATATACTACATTGAGAAATAGGATGGTATTGTGTAAGTTTCAATAGAGTATTGCTTATAACTTTTTTCCATGTACTTGGATGCTCACTATTTGCACTTTTTCAAAGTGCCATTTAAGTTGCTTTGCACTTTAAATAATGCAATTTATACTCTTTGCACAAGAATCTTAAAGACACAGCGCACCTTTATTTATTGTTTTTTTTTAATCTCTGGAGAAGGTCAGACAGGGCTGCAGGTTTGATTAACTGACATTTAAAATAGCCTGTATACCTTGCGTAACATCGGGAAGCTGTCTAGCTGTGCTATCCTGTGATAATCAGCAGTCATCCAAAAATAGGTTTGTGTCTGGGGATACAGGGCGTTAGTAACCAGACAGATATATATTATCTAGAGTAACTTATTTTATCTGATTAACTGAAACAGGATTAGCAAACATACTAGCGATCACTTTCTGCTCCCATAACTGTTATTTTTGGAAAGATGGTAGAGTTACAGATTCGGATCCTGAAAACAGACCGGGACTGACTTTTACTAGAGGTCATTGTGTTCACAAAAGGAACCGGGAATTTAGTCTCTGTGGAGCTAGGTGGGAAATGTGCCTAGTATTAATTAATTAATAGGTCTTTGATTTTGAATATATGTACACTATAACCTTTTTTAATTGTTTATTTCCCTCTTAGGTCTTTGACTTCGAAGAAGACAATGCGAAGAGATAAAAGCATGCCAAATTTCGATGAAGATCTGATAAACCAGGTAAGAGTAATGAGAGAGATAATAAATATTGTAGATAATGTGCTTGTTATTTTACTACTGCTAGTTACCTTATCTGTTCAGAGTGTTGTATTGAAAATTACTGAGGAAGTGGGAAAATGTAAGGGCCCTGATACTAAACATCTTTATTTTTATGAAGGGGTAGGTGTAACTATGTTTTCTCCAGAATTGGAGAAGCTGTATTGCAGGAGTAAGGAAAGTGCTAAAGTCTGAAGACGCAAGCATGATGTATGAAAGGTAAGCTGGGTCCTTAGTAAGGCAAATGTCACCAGCAGAAGAGATCAGCTAACAGGAGTAAGTTCCCAAATCTAGCTTAACTCAGACAGTAGTAGTAACCCCTAATTTAAACAGTGGTATTGCTTATAAATTTTAAAAAGTTAAAAATGCATGTGAAGATTATTTAAATCACCAAGTGATGGAAATTGTTTCCTAATTTTTTTTTATTTTTTTTTTTAGTTATCTATAAACACTTCAAAACAAAGCAGTGTGGAGCACAGTGTGGCGTGTGGAGCAGAAGTGAAGCTGAGTCCTGTGACTGACTCCTGTTCCCCACACAAAGTAACTCATATTGTCCGGAGGCACAGTCTGAATGTGCCCTGTTCGGTAGATGATCAGGAGAGCTACAGTGACGCTACAGATACATTAAATGGGACCGACATAAGTTCACCACTCTCAGACACCTATGATCAGGACTTAGAAAGTGATTTGTGTATAAGCAATCAGGAGCTGTCTGAAATGAACCGTCAACACAATCCTTCCCTGGAGATTACTGACATCACAGAGAACCTTAACAAACTCACAAAAATGGCAGACCTGGACTGCTCTGGCAGCGCCAATTGCTCCTGCGTGGCTTGCACGTTGGCGATGGAATCTTCCTGGTCTGTGATTGGATCTTCCAACCAGTCCAGCTGTGATAACTGTGGACATGATGGTTTTGATACAGTTGATCTCTGATCGCGAACTGCTTGGGGTGGAAATTCTGCCCCTTGGCCTAGATTGCTTTCTGACCGTGCTGCTACAGTCTAACCCTATCTATGGCAGGCGATTCAGTGTGTTAAGGAATATATTTCAATTCTGTAGATGTGTATTCACTCGTCAACCCAGATTTTTTTCTAATATACTACTGACATAGAAGTGGGGGTTAACTTGTGTTTCTCTATTTTACCTGTTGGGTTAAACACCAATGAATGTGTCTGATCTCACAATGCTGAACACTGTTGTTTCTATTCTGGTTTGCACAAAGGCACAGGCATGACTGTTCTCACGGGGGATTTGGAGAGTTGTCAGTTAGATTTATACACGCACATTCCAGTGGCCACAGATTTTAGCTGCTGAGCCTTCTTAGAAATGATCAGTCTAATATAAAAATTTGTATGGTTTAGTAAAGTTCTGTCAAACTGCCACGGACTGCAACTCCCACTACCCTCACCTACACCATGTAATGTCCATGATATACTCTCTGTGGTTCTCAGTCCTTTAAACTGCACACCTCAATGTCCACAACGTCTGATTTTGAGTGTCTGGTATTGCTGATTTGCAGTGACCGGTTAGCTGCTGATTTAAAAATAAATAAAAACACACACAAACGTGAGTGCCAAATGGGTGTCCTAAACTTTGTCCATCCCTGTGGCACTCTAAGGTTGTGTTTGGGGGGAAAAAAAGATCTCTGATAAATGCAAATCTCATTCTTGAATATCTACATATTGACAGAACTCAGTACAGCTTATATTTTTCTAAGTAATTTATGATTTCAGTGGATTTATTTTCAAATGTGCCTTTCACTCGTGCCAAATACTAAACATTAATTATAATAAATAACTCTAAAGTTAATCCGTGGTTTCAGTCTTATTGAAGGTATTGATTTTTGTTTACATACTACTGAAATTTCTAATTCAGAGCTGAGCAAAGACTTTGACAGAAATCTGGTACCAACTGGAAACATGACCGTTTTATTACGTGTCACTGCTTGCCTTTCTTCCATCTCTGACTGGATGTCCTCCCGCTTTCTGAAACTCAGTCTCTCTAAAACTGAGCTCCTTGTCTTTCCTCCTCCTAATACTGAACCTCCTCTTTCGCTCTCCCTTCAAATTAGTGGTATGCACTCAGTTGCGGATCCAGAGCCTGATCTCAGGACGGGCACTTGTAGATTATTTAAAGAAATAATCCAGACACAATAACCACTACAGCTCAGTGTAGTGGTTATGGTGTCAATAGTGCCGGGACCCCCTTCCAGAGTAAGTAGTCAAACCGTTTAAGAACAGTTTAACAACTTACCTGAGGTCTGCTGGGAAATGGGGCTGTAGTAGGGCATAGGAGCTGTGATGCAGTGTGTGAAGGTTGCAGTGTGTGAGTGAGGACGGCAGTATATGTCGTGTTTGTGTGTGTAAAAGCCCCCTACCCTTCTTATCTCCCCCCCACACATACATTGTCCCCTTACATAATAATTACATTTCTAAAAATCCAACACATATTATAACCCTTCTTATATGCTGTTGTTTTTTTTTTTTTTTTAATTTAAACAAATATTCTTTATGTCCCCCCTCCCTTCTTACCTTTACCCTGGTGGTCCCAGTGGATAGCGTGAACTCTAGCCCGCGCTCCAGGGCTAGAGTTCACTCTTGCGAGATCTGGAGCATTGCCATGGTAACCGCGGCAACGCTCCATGCTCGCAAGAGGAGGAGCTGCAGGTAAGAGCTCCCGGGTCCTCTCTCCTCCCTCTCCCTCCCCCGTGCCGGCTGCCAGCACGGTGCCTGCGGACCTCCAGTCTCTGTCCGAGAAGGCACATTGCAGGGCTGGCACTTGGACAATGCCAGCCCTGCATTAGCCGGCAGAGGAGAATCTCCGGGGGGAGGGGGGGGGGGCAATTGCCCCGTTGCTCCCCCTCCCCCCCACGGATCCGCCACTGTATCCACTAGGGATCGACCGATATTGATTTTTTAGAGCTATTTTAATCTGTGAACTTTTAGGCCGATAGTTTATTTCTTTCAAAATGGTAAATGTACAGAATATCGGTAAGTTATCGGCTATTTCTTGTTTTTGAAAATCAATTTTAAAAAAAATCTGTTGGTGCTATATAAATGGCGATAATACATTTCTTAGCCAAAAACAAATACATTGATACCATTATCACCACTATACAATGCATACTTTTAAAATCTTTTATATAATTATTTTCTTCAGTTCAGTAAAAAATTAAGTACCACTTCATTGTTAACTATGGTATATATTGGATTTCTAGGCGAACCACCAGTCCATGTTTTGACAGGGTCGCCAATGGATTATCTGGTTAATGTGTAAATCCTGGACTGCAGGTGTGCCCTGAGGACTGGATTAGGATCTGGTGGGATAGAGTATAGACCTGTGGGAGAAGGCCCAGTACTTGATTATATATAAACTAGAGAATAAATTGTAATTTTGTAACAAAACATATTTTGCTTTTGAATGTTCTATAAATAAGGATCTAGCTTACAATATCAATCAATGCTTCTACAGCTAAAAAAAAAAGAAAAATGGACGCTCCCAGGGATTTGTTTAATTAAAAATTGCAATGTTAAGATGAATAAAAATGTAAGTCCTGTGTAAACCCAGCTCAGTTCATATTATATAAGGGAATTGTAGATATCCACATCTAGTAATTGAATTTGTTCTATACTGTAAATGTGTGGTTTCCAACATTAATGCCACTTATAACCTGTGTAGCGGTCTCATATAAAGCTTATATAGAGATGCTGAAAATGAGGTGTAGTCCCCTCTTTTTAGCAAGTTATTTTGAAGATAGGATACAAAAAAGCATTAACTATATGGAGCGAAATTAACTTTTCCATATGACATTCCATTGTAGGATAAATTCTACAATAATGCACCCGGCCCTTCAGGAGAGAGCCCCCCCCCTTTATCAAGCCACATGACTGACAATGCAACGCCTTTGGTACATTTTAAGAAAATAGCTACTTAATATCTAGAGCAGTCTTTTGTAAAAGGGTTTAACAGTAATCGCTAAATCCTGGATCAGTGGAAGTTCTTTCTGACTAATTTTGTGAACCTCTGGTTTATCAGCAGATCGGTGTGGAATAGTAGCCTTGATCCATTATATTGACTCACAGGACTGTTTTAGGTAACCTAGGCCTGTCCATAGATTGTATAAGATATTTTAGAAGTCTTTAAGGGAACACTATAGTGTTAGAAATCCCACCAGCTCCCTTAACATAATAAAAAACATACTTTTTCCAGTCTGCTGCTGCTGGCTCTGCCCCTGATCTGCCCGCTTGGCCGACATCATCAGAAATGATTCTCTGAGCCAGTTACAAAGCTTCCCCATAGGATTGGCTGAGACTGTCAAGGAGGCAGAGCCAGCACAAGTCAAACAGAGCCCTGGGCAATCAGGTATCTCTTCAGATATCAATTTAATCAGTGCATGGAGACACCACTTTCCCCAGAGGTGCAAAGGGGGAAGCACCTCTAGTTGCCATCTGAAGAGTGGCCTGTGGAGTTATCACTGCATTTTCTCTGAAAAGTCAATGTTTACTGTAAAAAGCCTGAACTAATGATTGCTCATCAGAATACAATAAGCTGTAGTTCTGGTGACTATAGTGCCCCATTAACCTACAGTTCATGGCACAGTAGATTGTGTTCTTGCATAGCAAGACCACTTAATGTTATCTCAGATATATATTATTCTTATTATAGCCAAATTTACCACCCTAACTCCTCCCACAGTTTTTACAGTAATATACCGAAACGTGCGGATTGTTCCCGATTTGTGGAACGTTTTGCCGAATGGTTCATGGGATATCGTAGTTTTTGTCGAAGTTGTTCCCATAGGAATGAATGGCGAAATGTTCAAAACTAGAGTGGGAGCTGGCAAAAGCTGAAAAAGCAGGACATGATTTCTAAACTGCCACCACTCCCTCATTTTCAAGCCCACCTACACAAATCTTATATCAAAATGTTCAGCTATCCCTGCTGCCACTAAACATGTCAACGGCTAAGCCATAGTCCTGATAGTTTGCAACTCACACCGTCCATTGACATTCATTGAAACTCCACTCCAGCCAGCTTAAATTTGAAGGGCAATTTCTAAACTGCGACTGTGCCTTCATTTTTAATACTTCAGAGACATACTGAAAATGTAAAAATGTAGGTCTGGGTCTTGTGATTCTCACAATATAAAGCTCTTCGCTGTAGGATTTATAGTTTGTAAAATACGACCATTTGAAGATGGCAACTGCTAAAATACTCTGGCCTGTGCCAGGCTGGAGCAGCAAGTGATGACATAGACAGGGCCTTTTGTACACCTGCTAGTGTTTTTATAAATGTATGTTTTAATGTAACTGTGAAGCACTTTGGGCAACAACGTTGCAAGTAAATGTGCTATATAAATAAATAAAAGTTGAAATGCATTTCTCACTCTATCAAGCTTGCCATGTGCACTTTTTAAAATTCAATCAATTGGTTAGTGTAATGTTTACTATCTTTACTCACTCAAAACATTCCACACAGTTACTCTGCCCAGTCCAACCTTTCCACAGTTACTCCGCCACTCCACCCAGTTACTCTGCCCACTCCAGTTGTAGACTACTGGTGGAGGCAAGAACACTTCACACAATTTCCCTAGAAATTGTAGCTTTTCTAGATATCCTACTGAAATAATTAGGTACTCCTAACTAGCAATAGTGTAATTGTGGTACAGTTTGCATGTGCTTATCACTTTAAGCAGGTTAAGTCATTGTTACGTGTTCACTGCAGAAATTACGATGCCAGGAGTATCCAATTCCAGTTCCCCATTAATGGGAAAACAGTTTAGGAACAGTGTGCCTGCATCCGTACTGGACTCAGAATCTTGTTCTCTGAGGTGCTTCTGCAGAAATCAATCCAGTGATTATTGTACAAGGAAATTTGCACAGAATTAATGCCCCACTGTGCTGTTGAACTCTATATGAATGTTTCACAGCGAAATATCGCACATAAAAGGCTCCAGACATTATGACCAATTTAAATTACTGAAGTGGTCATAGCGCTTTAAGGACAAGTGAGCATAAAATGCAATAGAATCTCTAGCCCCACCAATTTTTAAGTCATTAAAACCTTCAATTTCTTTTAGTTTTTCCTACAAAACCTACCATGAATGTTGGCTTACACAACATCTTAACTACTGAACATATTTAAGCATCCTCTGACATGAATAGCATCAAAAAAAAAGTGTGCAGCTTAATCCTGTTATGCTTCTGTTAGCATTATTATGCCTGATCCTTTAAAAAAAAAAAACAAAAAAAAAAAAAACCTTCAATTGTCATAGAATGGCAATTTACATGATTTCAAGTACTTTAAAGTTCAGATTTTTATTTGGTACATTCACCTAAATAATTTAGTGTAAAAAGAGCAAACATTTCTTTCCTCTCTGTACCATAGTATGAAACACATTAGGCCATAGATGGTCTTTACAAAATTCACAGCACAGAAGGACTTTATTAATTTAGGGAACAAAGGAGAAAAAAAAAAATAATAATGGCACTATCCTCTGCGCTTGGCTGTCAAATTCACAGAAACTGCAAGAATTCCAATACGTTTGCCGTCTGAACATACATTCCTTGGAGTCAATAGCTACTTTAATTACTTCATTACATTTAATGACATCAAGACTTAGTAAAAGTCAACAGATTCTTCTAATACTTTAACATTACCCAAGGTGGGGGAAGAGTGGCCCAGCCGGATTAACCAAAATCATAACAGTGTATCAGAGAATGAATGTGATCCTTATTGCAGGACAGGTCTGGTTTTTAAAAATCGCCAAGTCTTCCAAGGAAAAGGTATTTTAATTTAAAGTAAAATGTCTCTCAGTTTTGTTAAACATATTTCAGTGCCTTTTGCTGTAAAACAAGTGCTTGATCATGTAATTTATTTTGCATCGGAACCGTTGCCACTGGTCGACACTCAGTCATCCTCCTCATCAGAGTCCAGGACTTTCCTTCTGTTAAACTAAACAAGTGAGAAGATGGTTTGTTATAATTAAAACATGATATATCCTAACTTAGTCTTCTTGATTTTCAGAGAATTAGAGGGATCTTAAAAAAAAAAAAATGGGAAGACCAAAATATAAAGGAATTAATCACAGTGGGGGAGCCATCTCTAATTTTGGGGATGGATGCAGGGAAATGGACAGGAACACTATATCATGGAGACCAAACAAATGCTCCTGCTAGGAAAATGTGACAATTGACCGAGCTGTACTGATAGTTTGTCAAATCCCAACTGCTGTCTCAAGCAATGGCTGTAGGTATTCAGTGTTGTCTCACTCAAGGCAAGGACGTGATCTCGATGTTCTATTTTTATGCATGCATAACAGTGCAACAGTGTCAGCTCTAGGAAGAAGATGAAGGTGATCACAAGGGACAGCTTAAGGCAAGTACAACTACCTTCTATTGCAGCCCACAAACGTCACTCCCTTAGTAGAGATGTCTCCACAATATGCAAAGACCATCACAAGGGACAGATCTGCTTCAAAACCTCCTCAAAGTAGTTATTTTAATAAAAAGATTAAGGATCAAAGAAATGGGTACATATTACACCATTTGTACCACTTACCTTAACTGTCATCTTCTTTTCTGTCTGTTGACTCACTTTTTCCAAAATTTCTATTAGACCTTGTTCTGAGAGCTGGGTGTAAAATGAAAACATGATTTACTAAGAATCCAGCTCTTCATTTCTACCAACATTCTTTTTAACATTTAGCAGAGGTAGGAAACAATGAGGCGAGTCTCAACGGCATTGAAAACCAGATAATGTTCACCATTTAGCCTTGGGTATCTTACAGAAACAGGACATGGGCACCAAATTGGAACACATGGAAGATCCATGGATTTTAATAGGGTATTAGGAGCAACATTTGCTGCTATGCACTAATTATGTCCTTGGAAGTTACACATCTGAGAAATTACTGCTCTCACATTGTGAATGACACACAAGGCTTACCTTTCCCCCAAGTTGTCCATATCGTGCCATTTGTATAAGGTAATTTTCAACAGCTTTGGCTTTCTCCGGCTTGACAAGAGCAAGATTATTCACTATTTTAAAGAAAGAAGATGAAAACAAAACAGGTAACATATCCACATTTGAAATACTATTTACGTATTGAATTCTACACTATTTCCCAGACTTGAAGAGTTAATTAGTTCTGTACTATTCCCCTATAATCCAGCATCGAGACAGCCTTGTAGGTACAGCCCGGTCCACCTCTGCTGATGTCATCAAGCTTGTCAAATCAAATGAAGAAATGATTGAATGTTTGACATTCTCATCCAGTGAATGAGGACTTAGAATGTCCAAAACCAAGTAAAAAACTTGACTCTGCATGCAGAAGCAATGTCTAGTGGCTGTCGGGTTAACAGCTACAGGTGGTGTAATTTTCCCAGCAATGTAAACACCACCATATCTCCAAAATGTTATTGTCTTAAAATTGTGGGAGCAAAACAGCAGAGGAAGTGCAACAAGACCGCTTCAGTAAGGTGAACTATTTCACTTACTCAGACTTTCAAAGTAAATTTCAAATTTAAGGTAAAACTTGCCAAATCAGAAACATTCTCTAAGGCAGCTATGCTTTCAGTTCTGCTACTCTGGCCTTAACTTTGAATTCCTATTTTAGTAAATAACCCTGTTCTTACTAAAGATATTCTTGTAGATCACAAGCCAAATGCATAACTATAGAACTGAATATACCTGGAGGTATTACACCCTACTAGACGATTCAGATCTCTCGTAAAATAGAAAATGATGGAGCTGAGTAGTGTGATTGGCAATCTATTTATTGGAACCTATTAGCAAAGTGGTGTTTTGCTCTTAAAAGATTCTAGATTCTAAAATGATTTTACTATGTACAGCGGAGGGATGGGTGCACCATAACCAATAAGTGATATCTACCCTTAGACAAAGAAAATGAGGTACTTACAACGTGCACGTGCTTCCTGGCTGAGGACCTGGGCCAAAATATTGTTTCGCATATCATCTTCTCTGTAAATAAGAGAGATTGTGTGACATAATAGTAAAACAAAAGTCCTAGAACACAAAACTAGTCAGCATTGCAGACGTCTCAGCTGTTAGAAATTAAGAGGAAAATAAAAAAATATATCGTTTTACACTTTACTACAAGAATTGTAACTACTACAGCCTATTGCAGTTACCAAAATACTAGACATTGACCATGAAATATACCGGTGCTGGAACTATACAGAACAAGCGATCAATGTAGAGATTACATTGAAGTAGCTATTATTTGTATGTGTGTAACCACTGTACTAATGGTAGTGGCACGGATGATTCCAGAAAAGAAAAAATACGGGTGAGTAACACGTTTACCAAAACGTTCCCCCAAAAAAGAACAAATGATGTATATATTTTTTTTAAAGTTATTTTATCATCTAACCTTTGTTGTCTCACCGCTAAATGATAGTCAATGGATGTGGTCTTTCACACACTAGTTATGCGCCAAGTAAAGTTAACAGTGATACTCAGACTGTTGCAGGTAATATTCCATGTCTGGTTTAAAGGGACACTATAGCCAACAGAACTACAGCTTAGTGTAGTTATGGAGTCTATAGCCTCTCCATGCAATATTTTTTAT